ATAAATAAACAATAAAGAAAATTAGAATTAATTGGATAATTTAGATTTTTATTGATATTTGAATTATTTGTACAAATTGTTGTTTATAATTTAAATTATGAACAATAATATACATTAATTTAAATATTACATAAAATAAAAAACTATCCTATTTTCTAATATTCTTCATTCTTCACTCCGCTCCGGTGCTCCATTTTTTTATCTGCGAAAAGAAGAAAGAAAGTCAGAAAACAGTTGAATAATTAAAAGAGACAGATAAAAGTTGCTCATCATTAGGGGCCACTGACTGGGATCAGTTGACCCTCTCTGCAAATCACGGGATTTCTCCCGGTTCACAAAGAGGGAAGAATTCTATTTTTTATTCCTGAATGTCAAAAGCATAAGTTCCAAAATTCAAGACTGCATAGAATCTCAATTTCAAATTCAAACCAAACTGAAAAGTCCAATTCCCACTTAAATGCCAAAGATATCAAAGAAAATCACAAGTACTCAAAAGCTGTCAAAGAAGATTTTGGAAAGGATATCAAAATGCAAAGTCAGATCCAAACTGTCAAAGCAAGATAAAGGTGCAGAAAATGTGTTATGCAAGCTAAACATATTAATCATCATTTCCCATAGGCCCCTTCAGAAAAGAAGTACAACATAAATCATAATATATTCTCAAAGCTGTACTATGGAAGAAAAGAGAGATAATAGAAGCATAGGCAGGATTAGGCTTAGGAGAAGACAAGAAAAGATATAAAGAACAAAGACACGGTTCAGTAGACAGTTCAGAATATAGAAGGAAAAAGATACAAACTAAAGCCTCTGAGTTTCAAGAAAAAAGAACCTGCATCAAGCCTCATAAGTCATAAAAACACAACAAAGACAAAAGCCTGAAAAACCATCAAACCTGAACAACCATAAAACAACCCCAAGCTTCAAACTGATAACCTGCTAGGCCATCAAACAAGTTTCAAAAACCACCAAAAGCCTGCTAATGCCTTAACCTGCCTGTCATCAAACTGAAGCAAATCAAACACATCTAAAACTTCATACCAGAATTACCAACACCCTATCTTAACCTTAAAACCTGCTAATGCCAAGCCTACTACAAACACATAAACAAAAACTACCAGCACCCTGTTCAAACACCCAAACCTTGGCCTTAACAACCAAAAATAACCACCAACCTGTCCAGTTACCACAAAAAAACATTCAAGGCCTCATCCTACAATAAGCCTATCAAACTCAAAAGCATAACAACCTGCCTACTGTCAAGAAAAAGAAACAAAAGCTATACAGCATAACTTGTCAAAACCCCTGTCAAACATGAACCAACCCTGAGCCAACTAACTCCTAAAAACCTCAGAAACCTGTCCAACTCCTAAGCCTCAGAGTTTTTCTTTCCTCATCATAGGCGATACATAGCATCCAACTCAACAGAAGTTCAAGGCCAGCAAACATCTCAGAAAGGCATATCTCAAGCATATAGGCAACAAATACGAGCCCCTCAGAACTGTAAGTTCATCATGGGGGGAACAAATCAAATCATATAGCGTCAAGCACGTAAGCAAAAGCAACTCAGGGACCAAGAAGAAGTAACAAATCAGGGCAACACGAGAGAAGAAGAGAAAGTTCATCAAGGAAAATCCATCAGGCCCTCAGTGTACACATCACTGGGCAATAAGGCAGTCAAACAAGAAGCATACAAATACTCGGGCAACAATACATAGGCAACAGTGGCATGGAAGAAGAAGATAAAGTAGTGAATTAGAAAGAAGGGTTTTCAGGCAAATCTTAAATCATCATAAAACCCTCACACAGCAAGAGGTAAGAACGAAAATACCAGGAAAGCATCAGAAGCAAAGCAAGCATCCAGCTTCGTCACCGAATCGCCGTTCCGGCCTCCTAAAGCGTCACCCCTCTTCTCTCCTCCATCTCCAAGATCAGGTAGTGAGTTTCCTCCCTCTCTTTCTCCACCACCTCACAATAGCACAGAATTAAGAATCGAAAATTCAAATCAAAACAAAACATGCAATCCGTAAAAAAGGAAACGAGATAAGAACATAACAACTAAAAGCTAACCTTGTTTCAAGAAGATGTGGAGCTCTTGCCTTGGAGGGAAGAGAGTTCGGGAGTGGCGTTGGTGGCCAGAAAGAGAAGCATTCAGGGAGATGAGGAAGAGAACGTTGAACGAATACGCGCCGCCGCTGCCTCGCCTAAACCTGATGCTTTCCCCAAACTGAACTAACAATCCCTAACCCTAAATTCGTTCAAGTTAAACATGGGCCTGACCCGTCTCTAAGTCTCCCTAAAGCCCATCAAAAAACACTAACATTGTTCTAACCAAACCCATTTTAAATACTGACTCTTTTTATTATTTATATTACATAAACTTTCTTTTTCTTTTCAAAAATCATTTTAGTAGACAAAATGTGTTTCTTACATTCTTTAATATGTTTAAAACATTTTTTATATACATGTTTAATTCAATTAACTTGGAAACTTTTTTTAATACATATTAAAATATATTTTCTTTTTAGTATACATAATTTATTTCTTGACATATTCCTTTTTTAAATATTTTTGCACATAAAAATACATTCACACATCATATAATTAAAAATTAAAAATACTTCTTTTTATTCTTTTTTAACATACATATTTGTATATAATAATTTAAATACATTTTTTTCTCTAATATTAAATTCACAACATTTAATCAAAATACTTTTTGCAAATAAAGATACATTCTTAATTAAAACTTGAACATTTTCTTTTGTACATAATTAAACATATAAATCAAAGATCCATTTAAAACATTTCTCTAGGTCAAAAACCCTAATACGTTTCAATTCCACAATTCGCACCTGCAAATAAATTACATACTCATATACATGTACACTTACACAAATACATTCACATTGCCCTATACACACTTTTATCTTATATCTGTATATTCGATATTTACATTTGATCGCACATTCGATTTGGTTGTAACTTATTGGATACTATAAGTCTCATCCCCATTCATATACTTGTACCCCCACTCCCGGATACTACTTTGTAATAGCGTAGATTTTACATTCCGCAATTTACAGTTTTCCAATTATACCATGGTTAGACCTAGGGTTTGTATGTACATAAAATCAAACGCTAGATAACCTAATACAAGACAAATACATGCAATCAATACACAATCACACTTGCACCCCCTAGGGTAATCCCACATGTTGCCTTCCAAAATGGGCCATGCTTGCACGTCGAGTATCTTTGGCAAAACAAAATCAAATGATCATAAGTCTCAAAGTGTTGCCTAAACGGAATGATCATAGTCCCTTCAAAGCAAATTGCCAAAGACACTTGGCATCATTGCATTCATGGTCCATACGATGACCCGCGCCCGTCCCGAATAAACTTCCTAAATGCAAGATTGCCTACCAATTTCAATGGTAGAACAAAATTGTTAAAAGGGGTTAAAACATGACAAAAACCTTTGAGTACAATAGGGTAGACAAAACTCTTAGTTACTTGAGATCAATTTGCAAAAACGCTTGCCTTCTTTTCAAAAACCACAATCCACAACACTTTCAAACAAATTCTCAAAAACATTTTGAAAACATCTTTTCGAAAAGATTCACACTTTTGTAAAACACTCAAACACGAGTCAAATACATTAGTTGCCTAAGACAAGGCATCTTTTTCCAAAACATTTTCAAAAGCACCCACACACACACCATTTTCAAAGCAGTCGAAAAACAAGGCAAGTGATCTAAAAAACCAAGTAACTAAGAGCCCATGGATAACCATGGATGAAAAGGGTGCTAATACCTTCCCTTTTCATAATCTACCCCCCGAACCCAAGAAAAATCTCAAAGGTTTTTGCTGTGCTTTTTAAACCTTTCCTTAGGATAAAATAAAAAGTCGGTGGCGACTCTTGCTCAACCGCACAAGTGCGAATACGAACGCAAAACACAAGTCAGTTCTCCCACCGTATCACACACAGCCTAGGAGATAGGTTGTAAATCATCAAGAGAACAGGCCAAGAACTATGGTTAGTACTCAGATTACCGAACGGATTCATTCCATCAGTAGCAAGTCCAAGTCTAAGGTTTCTCGACTCTTTGCCAAAATTTGGAAACAAAGAATCTATTTTCTTCCATTGCAAAGAATCAGCTACATGACGAATTTGTCCATCATATTTTCTTTCTTCTGCATGTCATCTAAGATTCTTTGTGTCATCTGCATTGGCGAATAATCTCTTGAACCTTGAAATTATTGGTAGGTACCATACCACTTTCGTAGGAGGACCCTTTTTTACCACCTCATCATCAATTGACTCACCATCTTTCTTTTTGTAGCGTGAAGCCTTACACTTTGGACAATGATTATACTTTTCATACTCTTTTCTGTATAATATGCAATCATTAGGGCATGCGTGTATCTTTTCATACTCCAAACCCATTGGACACAATATTTTCTTCGCCTCGTAATAACGACTTGGCATTACATTACCTTCTGGAAGCATTTCGGTCAACAATTCAAGCAACTCGGTAAAACTTTTGTCAGTCCACCCATTCTTTGCCTTCAGATTAAATAATTTTAACACGGCTGACAGACATGTAAATTTTTTGCATCCCGGGTACAATGGTTTATCCTTGTCATTGCATATAGTATCATACGTATGTGCCCTCTTAAACGAATCTTGTCCAATATCACGCATCATGTCTTCTAGACGATCATCCATTTCTACACTAACACCATCTCTTTGAGACACGTTTGACTTTGCTACTACTTCACCGTGCCATATCCATTTTGTATAACTTTGACAAATCCCTACACAAATTAGATGATCCATGATTTCTTTCTTACTACGTTTTGGTTCTTTATTTGCACAACGAATACATGGACAGAGAAAAAGCGTAGGAAGACTTTTGTCAGCATTACTTTCAGCAAACTGTAGAAATTCCATCACTCCATGTTCGTACTCGTCACTTAATCAATTAGCTCTCATCCAACTACGATCCATAACTATGTTCACACGGAGGAAGGTCTGACGAACGGTGTGTCCGCGACTGTGCTACTTCACGGAGATTCCGAGATTGCAAGTTGTGCTGCTTCGCGGAGAAAGACAAATAGAATCAAATTTCAATGGCAAGGTGATAACTCTATTAAGTTTGATAGGTTAAAGATAAACAATGTGTTTCTGAGAGGACCATTAATTCTTTTGTCATAGGTTTCTAAATTTTCCGCTTCTTTTATTTGGTGAGCATAAAAATAGGAGAAAGGGATTCAAATATAATAGTATAATAATAGTAACAATAATGGAACAAAGTATAAAACACACGAGTAACAAAGTGTAATTTATATGAGGCCAATGATTAAACTATTTTTGGCCAATGATTAAAATATGAGGCCACTTTGTTATTTTCAATTTTATCTTTTCTTCTTCAATTTTAACTCCTTTGATGTTTTAATCGTATTATATATATTTTTTTATTTCTTGTTAGTAATAATTTTTAAATCAGTATATATAAACACTACACTAACACAAAGACACTCTCTTAAATTTTTTTCAAAACCTTGTCCATATGTTTTTCTCAAACCATTGTTCTTAACAAATAAAATATCCAATTATTTTGAAAAAACACATTTCTCATTTAACAATTTATTACTAATTGTTATTATTTTTACACTTTGCACCACTAATACATAACTGATTCTCACTGGTTTCCTTTTCTAATAATTTCAAAACGATCACCATATATTCAATTTTTGTCTCAGAACCTGTAAATACTTAATAATATAACAATCTTCATGTTTCACTCTTCACCATCATGATCATGAAATTTCACACTGCACAAACACTAACATACACCATATTTTCTTGAAACAAGTAGCTTGTTGCATTAGTTAAAGTTACTAAGTTTAGTATCTATAAACATGTATAACTTTATCTTAAGGAATAACCATAGAAAAAGTTACTAAGTTTAGTATCTTAAACATGCATAATATTGATATGTAATGTAACATAGCATAAATGCATAAAAATGCTGAAATTGTAATGAAAAAGAAAATGCAAAAAAGAAAAGAAATAGAATTAGAACAAACCCCAGAATGATTTGCAGAAGACGGTGGAAACAGTTGAAACGGCGACGAGGAAGCAGTTGAAACGGCGACGGAATCGGGAGGAATCGGGCGGCGACGGTGAGCCGTTGAAATAGCGAGGAACAGAGCGAATCGGGCGGCGACGGTGAGGAACAGAGCGGAATCGGGCGGCGACGGTGAGGAACGGAGCGGAATCGGACGGCGACGGTAAATTTTCTGGAAATCTTTTACATCGGTGGATCAGATTGCCCGATGTAATAGGTGACGAAAAAAATTTTTTCCCTTATTTTTTATATCATTGGAAATAAATACCTGATGTAAAAAGTTTGTTAACTGTATTTTTTACATCACCTATTTTGATACCCGATGTAAAAACCTTTTCTCAAATGTCTTTTTTTTAGTAGTGGATACATCATGCATTGTACATTCACGAACTGCACAACTCATTAATGTAAATAAAGCATCGTGAACCACAATATACTTCACTTAGGATTAACATAAAAATGAACTAACATATATTAATTATGCAAAACATTAAGTTATACATAAATGGCCTACAAGGGCCATTGAAAGTTATCCATGGATACTGCTAAATTACATGGAAGATGTTTACCAGTTCATTCCTATATTAAAACGGCTTGAATGTTACAAAAACTATATTACTACAAAACATGATAATAACTTTCGCATCATTCATGAACATACGCCCCCACTTTCTCTTCCAAAAAACCATATTTCACTTCCACTACTTCATTCCCAATCAACTGCCTCAACGTACCTCATTCATGCGCTCCACACTGACAAAGATTTTACTCGCCGGTGGATATCTAATACAGAAGTGCAACACGTCCCCACCTGTAACTTCCTTTCTTTGGCAAATTTGTACCATCCACAGGAAATGTACGTCTCCATCGTCTCAGGCCTCCTTTTCAGCATACATTCATGGTAAACATGCAGGTCTGTGCCATGCAACAATATGGAACCTTGTGGTTCATCAAGGCATTCCTTCACCACCCGTAGAGGAATTTGCTGTACATTTACAATACCAACTGAGTATACGTCACATGTCGATGGAGAAACACTACTACAAAAAAAGGAAAAGACAGCGCTTTTTTGACCTTTAACAGCGCTTTAAAGCGCTGCCTAAAGCAGCGCTGCTAAAAGAAAAGACAACGCTTTTTTTCAACGTAAAAGCGCTGCCTTATGTCCACTTTAGACAACGCTTTTAGAATAGACAGCGCTTTTTAATTTTTTCCAGATAGGCTTTAGACAGCACTTTCCTTTGAAAGTGTTGTCTATTCCCCCATTTTAGACAGCGCTTTCAGACTTTAGGCAGCGCTTTTTGTTTTTTAACTTTTTACAGCACTTTTCTCCTAAAGTGCTGTCTATTGTTTACAAATTTTTTTAATAAATTATCTATTTTAATCAGAATTTTTATCATATTTGATAGCTTCATTCCAATATTTTGATCCAGGTTTTCAAAATTATCTTTTATGCTCCATATTCGGTAGTTTCATTCCAATAAAATATATATATATATATAAATTGATGATATAGACAACAACAATTACAAAATTTATGATACAAGTTAAAATGCCTAAAAATTCAAAATTGAATTTACATCTAAACATCTTTCTATCTTCGAGAATTCTCAAGAAACAACAACAACATGAATATCTTAGCTCTATCTTCTACACATGTACCTATAAACCTGGAAAAAAAACCAAATGATCGAAATTCATAACATGATAATATATATTAATGTTGCACTTTATTAATTCGAATTTAATTTATACTCAAAACTCAAAATTTCTCATCAAAGGAAATAAGACAATATACCTTAGCTTATAAAATTCTCAACCCGATAATGAATTGACACCATTCGTCCATAAGTTCATCCAATTGATCTTTTGAGTAATGTGCACAATTGAATTCCTCAAAGTACTACATATATAATAATATAATATAGTATGTGATTTAGTTAAAACAATATGTCATTTTATGAGAAACAAAAAATATGAAAATAGTATGTAATTCCTAAGTTAGAAATCCATACCGTGGATGAAATCTCTAATCGATCTAAAAGAATAGTTGGCGAGGACACTACACATGGAAATAAAATACGAATATATATCAGGATATACCCCAAAAAATATATATAAAATGACAATGCCAAAAATTAACATAAACATAAACTTAAATGTAAACACAAACATAAACATAAACATTTTAATATCTTACCTCTTTCACTAACATCTCTTTCTTTTCTTGGTTGGAACATGAATTACGTGCTTTTTAACAATGCGGACGAATGGATTTATCCAAATTCCCTCATTATGATCATTTCTGATATATGATTCATCCGCTATAATATTCTCATCTTGATCATTTATAATATACGACTCATTCCGTCTAATACATGACTCATTCTCATCATCAATACCACCTTGGTCTACACCGTTATCATCAACCACTTTGTTAAAAAAAAGCACTATAGACCATTTTGTATTCGTCGGGTCAGTGACATAGAACACTTGTTTAGCTTGAGAGGCTGGAATAAAAGGCTCTTCTTTGTACCCCTCTCTATGAAGATCCACTTGCAAAAATCCTGACATATCCATTCGTATGCCACCATTACTTACCCACTTGCAACCAAAGATAGGAATCTGAAACTTCTCGTAATCAAACACCCAAATATGCTCGATAACTCCAAAATATGATAGATTTGCATATTTGTGGTTTAGGTCCTTCATACTATAAATGTGCATTGCTTCAGCAAGCACGGTGACACCACTATTTTGTATAGTACTTTTATCATCTTGTTTTTTGGTATACAATGTGTATCCATTAATTGTGTATGCTTTATAGGAAAACACATGAAAACTTGGACCATATGTCAAACGTCTCAATCTTTCTGTTATTGAAGCAGTATCTGAATGAAGCTTTGAAAAATATGATCCTTAAACCACGGTATGAAACTTTTATTATGCTCCCGTACTATCCAATTTTCATTTCTATTCTTATTTAACCCTCAGAGTATATCCTTGTGCATTTCAACATATGGCTCAACCTCACTGTCATTGTGCAGAACATATAGATGCACTTGATCCCATTCATCTTTTGATACTGTCACAATTTTATTTCCAATTAATCTTTTTCCTGCCTTTTTTTTCAAAGATATGACTTTTGGGGAGTCCAATGGATTGAACTTTGGACAAATATTCAGTATAAAACTCAACCGCTTCTTCAACAATGTATCGCTCAACAATACAACCCTCTGGGCGACTTCAGTTTTTCACGTACCATTTTAATACTTTCATATAACGTTCATCAGGGTACATCCATCTCATATAAGCTGGGCCGCACAACTGTGTCTCTTTCACAAGATGAACAACTAGATGTACCATTATGTCAAAAAATGAGGGAGGAAAATACATTTCAAGCTCACACAAAGTAATAACAATTTCTTTTTGCAATGTTGGTAAGATCTCAGGATCAATCACCTTACTACAAATTGACCTAAAGAAAAATCACAACTTAGTTATCGCACTCCTTACTTTATCTGGCAAAATAGAACGTATACCTATTGGTAGAAAATGCTCCATTATAACATGGCAATCATGTGTATTTAAACTCTTTAACTTGAGGTCTTTCATAGACACAAGTCTTCTAATATCTGAAGAGTATCCTTCTGAAACTTTAACTTCACTTAGAAACTTACACAATATCTTTTTCTCCTTTCTAGATAGATTAAAAGCAGCAGGTGGTAGATATGTTCGGATTTCTTTCTTCACGGGTCCTAGTTCAGTTCGTATTCCCGTCTTTAACATGTCCTCCCTTGCTTTAAGGCCATCCTTAGACTTTCCTTTAATATTAAGTAACGTACCAATAACACTTTCAAATACATTTTTTTCAATATGCATAACATCGAGAAAATGTCTCACATACAGAAACTTCCAATATGGCAATTCAAAAAAAATCGATCTCTTCTTCCACCCACCTTTTACAACCGTATGCGCAAAAGGCTTGCCAAACTGAGTACACACATCTTTCACCTTTTCAAAAACTTGGTCACCTGACAATGCAGGTAGAGCTCTACGTTGTTTGGTGTCTCCATTGAATGCTTTTCTCCATGCACGGTAGTGATGTTTAGAATGTAAGAATCTACGATGACCGAGAAACACATTCTTCTGACAAAGTTCCAAATGCGGAGAAAGACAAATAGAATCAAATTTCAATGGCAAGGTGATAACTCTATTAAGTTTGATAGGTTAAAGATAAACAATGTGTTTCTGAGAGGACCATTAATTCTTTTGTCATAGGTTTCTAAATTTTCCGCTTCTTTTATTTGGTGAGCATAAAAATAGGAGAAAGGGATTCAAATATAATAGTATAATAATAGTAACAATAATGGAACAAAGTATAAAACACACGAGTAACAAAGTGTAATTTATATGAGGCCAATGATTAAACTATTTTTGGCCAATGATTAAAATATGAGGCCACTTTGTTATTTTCAATTTTATCTTTTCTTATTCAATTTTAACTCCTTTGATGTTTTAATCGTATTATATATATTTTTTTATTTCTTGTTAGTAATAATTTTTAAATCAGTATATATAAACACTACACTAACACAAAGACACTCTCTTAAATTTTTTTCAAAACCTTGTCCATATGTTTTTCTCAAACCATTGTTCTTAACAAATAAAATATCCAATTATTTTGAAAAAACACATTTCTCATTTAACAATTTATTACTAATTGTTATTATTTTTACACTTTGCACCACTAATACATAACTGATTCTCACTGGTTTCCTTTTCTAATAATTTCAAAACGATCACCATATATTCAATTTTTGTCTCAGAACCTGTAAATACTTAATAATATAACAATCTTCATGTTTCACTCTTCACCATCATGATCATGAAATTTCACACTGCACAAACACTAACATACACCATATTTTCTTGAAACAAGTAGCTTGTTGCATTAGTTAAAGTTACTAAGTTTAGTATCTATAAACATGTATAACTTTATCTTAAGGAATAACCATAGAAAAAGTTACTAAGTTTAGTATCTTAAACATGCATAATATTGATATGTAATGTAACATAGCATAAATGCATAAAAATGCTGAAATTGTAATGAAAAAGAAAATGCAAAAAAGAAAAGAAATAGAATTAGAACAAACCCCAGAATGATTTGCAGAATGATTTGCAGAAGACGGTGGAAACAGTTGAAACGGCGACGAGGAAGCAGTTGAAACGGCGACGGAATCGGGAGGAATCGGGCGGCGACGGTGAGCCGTTGAAATAGCAAGGAACAGAGCGAATCGGGCGGCGAAGGTGAGGAACGGAGCGGAATCGGGCGGCGACGGTGAGGAACGGAGCGGAATCGGACGGCGCGGAAGTGGTGTTGGCGGCGACGGTGTTGGCAGCGTCGTGGAAAATGGGTCGATAATGGCAGCGGCGACGGTCGTGGAAAATGGGTCGAAAATGGGTCGAAATGGAAACTGTACAGTTTTCACGTATAAATGAAAATAGTGTTTACACTTTTTTACATCGGTGGAAACCCCCACCGATATAAGGGGTTGGGCTATTACATCGGTGGAAACTCCAACCGATGTAATAGGTTGCTTTTTTTTTTAAATACGTGTCAGGCTATTACATCGGTGGAAACTTCCACCGATTTAATAGGTTGATTTTTTTTTTAAAATACTTGTTAGGCTATTACATCGGTGGAAACTCCAACCGATGTAATAGGTTGCTTTTTTTTTTTTAAATACGTGTCAGGCTATTACATCGGTGGAAACTTCCACCGATTTAATAGGTTGATTTTTTTTTTTTAAATACGTGTTGGGCTATTACATCGGTGGAGAGTCCGAACCGATGTAATAGCTTACCTTTTTTTTTTTTTTACCCACGTTTTTATGATTTATCAATATATTTTATATATTAATTCAATCACATTTTTTACATCGGTTTTTATTTAAACCGATGTAATATATTGCTTATATTTTTTTTAACTTTTTTGTCACCTTGTTTCTTATTTACAAAAATGCCACCGTGTTTTTTTCTGGAAATCTTTTACATCGGTGGATCAGATTGCCCGATGTAATAGGTGACGAAAAAAAATTTTTCCCTTATTTTTTATATCATTGGAAATAAATACCTGATGTAAAAAGTTTGTTAACTGTATTTTTTACATCACCTATTTTGATACCCGATGTAAAAACCTTTTCTCAAATGTCTTTTTTTTAGTAGTGGATACATCATGCATTGTACATTCACGAACTGCACAACTCATTAATGTAAATAAAGCATCGTGAACCACAATATACTTCACTTAGGATTAACATAAAAATGAACTAACATATATTAATTATGCAAAACATTAAGTTATACATAAATGGCCTACAAGGGCCATTGAAAGTTATCCATGGATACTGCTAAATTACATGGAAGATGTTTACCAGTTCATTCCTATATTAAAACGGCTTGAATGTTACAAAAACTATATTACTACAAAACATGATAATAACTTTCGCATCATTCATGAACATACGCCCCCACTTTCTCTTCCAAAAAACCATATTTCACTTCCACTACTTCATTCCCAATCAACTGCCTCAACGTACCTCATTCATGCGCTCCACACTGACAAAGATTTTACTCGCCGGTGGATATCTAATACAGAAGTGCAACACGTCCCCACCTGTAACTTCCTTTCTTTGGCAAATTTGTACCATCCACAGGAAATGTACGTCTCCATCGTCTCAGGCCTCCTTTTCAGCATACATTCATGGTAAACATGCAGGTCTGTGCCATGCAACAATATGGAACCTTGTGGTTCATCAAGGCATTCCTTCACCACCCGTAGAGGAATTTGCTGTACATTTACAATACCAACTGAGTATACGTCACATGTCGATGGAGAAACACTACTACAAAAAAAGGAAAAGACAGCGCTTTTTTGACCTTTAACAGCGCTTTAAAGCGCTGCCTAAAGCAGCGCTGCTAAAAGAAAAGACAACGCTTTTTTTCAACGTAAAAGCGCTGCCTTATGTCCACTTTAGACAACGCTTTTAGAATAGACAGCGCTTTTTAATTTTTTCCAGATAGGCTTTAGACAGCACTTTCCTTTGAAAGTGTTGTCTATTCCCCCATTTTAGACAGCACTTTCAGACTTTAGGCAGCGCTTTTTGTTTTTTAACTTTTTACAGCACTTTTCTCCTAAAGTGCTGTCTATTGTTTACAAATTTTTTTAATAAATTATCTATTTTAATCAGAATTTTTATCATATTTGATAGCTTCATTCCAATATTTTGATCCAGGTTTTCAAAATTATCTTTTATGCTCCATATTCGGTAGTTTCATTCCAATAAAATATATATATATATATATATATATAAATTGATGATATAGACAACAACAATTACAAAATTTATGATACAAGTTAAAATGCCTAAAAATTCAAAATTGAATTTACATCTAAACATCTTTCTATCTTCGAGAATTCTCAAGAAACAACAACAACATGAATATCTTAGCTCTATCTTCTACACATGTACCTATAAACCTGGAAAAAAAACCAAATGATCGAAATTCATAACATGATAATATATATTAATGTTGCACTTTATTAATTCGAATTTAATTTATACTCAAAACTCAAAATTTCTCATCAAAGGAAATAAGACAATATACCTTAGCTTATAAAATTCTCAACCCGATAATGAATTGACACCATTCGTCCATAAGTTCATCCAATTGATCTTTTGAGTAATGTGCACAATTGAATTCCTCAAAGTACTACATATATAATAATATAATATAGTATGTGATTTAGTTAAAACAATATGTCATTTTATGAGAAACAAAAAATATGAAAATAGTATGTAATTCCTAAGTTAGAAATCCATACCGTGGATGAAATCTCTAATCGATCTAAAAGAATAGTTGGCGAGGACACTACACATGGAAATAAAATACGAATATATATCAGGATATACCCCAAAAAATATATATAAAATGACAATGCCAAAAATTAACATAAACATAAACTTAAATGTAAACACAAACATAAACATAAACATTTTAATATCTTACCTCTTTCACTAACATCTCTTTCTTTTCTTGGTTGGAACATGAATTACGTGCTTTTTAACAATGCGGACGAATGGATTTATCCAAATTCCCTCATTATGATCATTTCTGATATATGATTCATCCGCTATAATATTCTCATCTTGATCATTTATAATATACGACTCATTCCGTCTAATACATGACTCATTCTCATCATCAATACCACCTTGGTCTACACCGTTATCATCAACCACTTTGTTAAAAAAAAGCACTATAGACCATTTTGTATTCGTCGGGTCAGTGACATAGAACACTTGTTTAGCTTGAGAGGCTGGAATAAAAGGCTCTTCTTTGTACCCCTCTCTATGAAGATCCACTTGCAAAAATCCTGACATATCCATTCGTATGCCACCACTACTTACCCACTTGCAACCAAAGATAGGAATCTGAAACTTCTCGTAATCAAACACCCAAATATGCTCGATAACTCCAAAATATGATAGATTTGCATATTTGTGGTTTAGGTCCTTCATACTATAAATGTGCATTGCTTCAGCAAGCACGGTGACACCACTATTTTGTATAGTACTTTTATCATCTTATTTTTTGGTATACAATGTGTATCCATTAATTGTGTATGCGCTATAGGAAAACACATGAAAACTTGGACCATATGTCAAACATCTCAATATTTCTGTTATTAAAGCGGTATCTGAATGAAGCTTTGAAAAATATGATCCTTAAACCACGGTATGAAACTTTGATTATGCTCCCGTACTATCCAATTTTCATTTCTATTCTTATTTAACCCTCAGAGTATATCCTTGTGCATTTCAACATATGGATCAACCTCACTGTCATTGTGCAGAACATATAGATGCACTTGATCCCATTCATCTTTTGATACTGTCACAATTTTATTTCCAATTAATCTTTTTCCTGCCTTTTTTTTCAAAGATATGACTTTTGGGGAGTCCAATGGATTGAACTTTGGACAAATATTCAGTATAAAACTCAACCGCTTCTTCAACAATGTATCGCTCAACAATACAACCCTCTGGGCGACTTCAGTTTTTCACGTACCATTTTAATACTTTCATATAACGTTCATCAGGGTACATCCATCTCATATAAGCTGGGCCGCACAACTGTGTCTCTTTCACAAGATGAACAACTAGATGTACCATTATGTCAAAAAATGAGGGAGGAAAATACATTTCAAGCTCACACAAAGTAATAACAATTTCTTTTTGCAATGTTGGTAAGATCTCAGGATCAATCACCTTACTACAAATTGACCTAAAGAAAAATCACAACTTAGTTATCGCACTCCTTACTTTATCTGGCAAAATAGAACGTATACCTATTGGTAGAAAATGCTCCATTATAACATGGCAATCATGTGTATTTAAACTCTTTAACTTGAGGTCTTTCATAGACACAAGTCTTCTAATATCTGAAGAGTATCCTTCTGAAACTTTAACTTCACTTAGAAACTTACACAATATCTTTTTCTCCTTTCTAGATAGATTAAAAGCAGCAGGTGGTAGATATGTTCGGATTTCTTTCTTCACGGGTCCTAGTTCAGTTTGTATTCCCGTCTTTAACATGTCCTCCCTTGCTTTAAGGCCATCCTTAGACTTTCCTTTAATATTAAGTAACGTACCAATAACACTTTCAAATACATTTTTTTCAATATGCATAACATCGAGAAAATGTCTCACATACAGAAACTTCCAATATGGCAATTCAAAAAAAATCGATCTCTTCTTCCACCCACCTTTTACAACCGTATGCGCAAAAGGCTTGCCAAACTGAGTACACACATCTTTCACCTTTTCAAAAACTTGGTCACCTGACAATGCAGGTGGAGCTCTACATTGTTTGGTGTCTCCATTGAATGCTTTTCTCCATGCACGGTAGTGATGTTTAGAATGTAAGAATCTACGATGACCGAGAAACACATTCTTCTGACAAAGTTCCAAACGCGGAGAAAGACAAATAGAATCAAATTTCAATGGCAAGGTGATAACTCTATTAAGTTTGATAGGTTAAAGATAAACAATGTGTTTCTGAGAGGACCATTAATTCTTTTGTCATAGGTTTCTAAATTTTCCGCTTCTTTTATTTGGTGAGCATAAAAATAGGAGAAAGGGATTCAAATATAATAGTATAATAATAGTAACAATAATGGAACAAAGTATAAAACACACGAGTAACAAAGTGTAATTTATATGAGGCCAATGATTAAACTATTTTTGGCCAATGATTAAAATATGAGGCCACTTTGTTATTTTCAATTTTATCTTTTCTTCTTCAATTTTAACTCCTTTGATGTTTTAATCGTATTATATATATTTTTTTATTTCTTGTTAGTAATAATTTTTAAATCAGTATATATAAACACTACACTAACACAAAGACACTCTCTTAAATTTTTTTCAAAACCTTGTCCATATGTTTTTCTCAAACCATTGTTCTTAACAAATAAAATATCCAATTATTTTGAAAAAACACATTTCTCATTTAACAATTTATTACTAATTGTTATTATTTTTACACTTTGCACCACTAATACATAACTGATTCTCACTGGTTTCCTTTTCTAATAATTTCAAAACGATCACCATATATTCAATTTTTGTCTCAGAACCTGTAAATACTTAATAATATAACAATCTTCATGTTTCACTCTTCACCATCATGATCATGAAATTTCACACTGCACAAACACTAACATACACCATATTTTCTTGAAACAAGTAGCTTGTTGCATTAGTTAAAGTTACTAAGTTTAGTATCTATAAACATGTATAACTTTATCTTAAGGAATAACCATAGAAAAAGTTACTAAGTTTAGTATCTTAAACATGCATAATATTGATATGTAATGTAACATAGCATAAATGCATAAAAATGCTGAAATTGTAATGAAAAAGAAAATGCAAAAAAGAAAAGAAATAGAATTAGAACAAACCCCAGAATGATTTGCAGAAGACGGTGGAAACAGTTGAAACGGCGACGAGGAAGCAGTTGAAACGGCGACGGAATCGGGAGGAATCGGGCGGCGACGGTGAGCCGTTGAAACGGCGAGGAACAGAGCGAATCGGGCGGCGACGGTGAGGAACGGAGCGGAATCGGGCGGCGACGGTGAGGAACGGAGCGGAATCGGGCGTCGCGGAAGTGGTGTTGGCGGCGACGGTGTTGGCAGCGTCGTGGAAAATGGGTCGATAATGGCAGCGGCGACGGTCGTGGAAAATGGGTCGAAAATGGGTCGAAATGGAAACTGTACAGTTTTCACGTATAAATGAAAATAGTGTTTACACTTTTTTACATCGGTGGAAACCCCCACCGATATAAGGGGTTGGGCTATTACATCGGTGGAAACTCCAACCGATGTAATAGGTTGCTTTTTTTTTAAATACGTGTCAGGCTATTACATCGGTGGAAACTTCCACCGATTTAATAGGTTGATTTTTTTTTTAAATACTTGTTAGGCTATTACATCGGTGGAAACTCCAACCGATGTAATAGGTTGCTTTTTTTTTTTAAATACGTGTCAGGCTATTACATCGGTGGAAACTTCCACCGATTTAATAGGTTGATTTTTTTTTTTTAAATACGTGTTGGGCTATTACATCGGTGGAGAGTCCGAACCGATGTAATAGCTTACCTTTTTTTTTTTTTACCCACGTTTTTATGATTTATCAATATATTTTATATATTAATTCAATCACATTTTTTACATCGGTTTTTATTTAAACCGATGTAATATATTGCTTATATTTTTTTTAACTTTTTTGTCACCTTGTTTCTTATTTACAAAAATGCCACCGTGTTTTTTTCTGGAAATCTTTTACATCGGTGGATCAGATTGCCTGATGTAATAGGTGACGAAAAAAAATTTTTCCCTTATTTTTTATATCATTGGAAATAAATACCTGATGTAAAAAGTTTGTTAACTGTATTTTTTACATCACCTATTTTGATACCCGATGTAAAAACCTTTTCTCAAATGTCTTTTTTTAGTAGTGGATACATCATGCATTGTACATTCACGAACTGCACAACTCATTAATGTAAATAAAGCATCGTGAACCACAATATACTTCACTTAGGATTAACATAAAAATGAACTAACATATATTAATTATGCAAAACATTAAGTTATACATAAATGGCCTACAAGGGCCATTGAAAGTTATCCATGGATACTGCTAAATTACATGGAAGATGTTTACTAGTTCATTCCTATATTAAAACGGCTTGAATGTTACAAAAACTATATTACTACAAAACATGATAATAACTTTCGCATCATTCATGAACATACGCCCCCACTTTCTCTTCCAAAAAACCATATTTCACTTCCACTACTTCATTCCCAATCAACTGCCTCAACGTACCTCATTCATGCGCTCCACACTGACAAAGATTTTACTCGCCGGTGGATATCTAATACAGAAGTGCAACACGTCCCCACCTGTAACTTCCTTTCTTTGGCAAATTTGTACCATCCACAGGAAATGTACGTCTCCATCGTCTCAGGCCTCCTTTTCAGCATACATTCATGGTAAACATGCAGGTCTGTGCCATGCAACAATATGGAACCTTGTGGTTCATCAAGGCATTCCTTCACCACCCGTAGAGGAATTTGCTGTACATTTACAATACCAACTGAGTATACGTCACATGTCGATGGAGAAACACTACTACAAAAAAGGAAAAGACAACGCTTTTTTGACCTTTAACAGCGCTTTAAAGCGCTGCCTAAAGCAGCGCTGCTAAAAGAAAAGACAACGCTTTTTTTCAACGTAAAAGCGCTGCCTTATGTCCACTTTAGACAACGCTTTTAGAATAGACAGCGCTTTTTAATTTTTTCCAGATAGGCTTTAGACAGCACTTTCCTTTGAAAGTGATGTCTATTCCCCCATTTTAGACAGCGCTTTCAGACTTTAGGCAGCGCTTTTTGTTTTTTAACTTTTTACAGCACTTTTCTCCTAAAGTGCTGTCTATTGTTTACAAATTTTTTTAATAAATTATGTATTTTAATCAGAATTTTTATCATATTTGATAGCTTCATTCCAATATTTTGATCCAGGTTTTCAAAATTATCTTTTATGCTCCATATTCGGTAGTTTCATTCCAATAAAATATATATATATAAATTGATGATATAGACAACAACAATAACAAAATTTATGATACAAGTTAAAATGCCTAAAAATTCAAAATTGAATTTACATCTAAACATCTTTCTATCTTCGAGAATTCTCAAGAAACAACAACAACATGAATATCTTAGCTCTATCTTCTACACATGTACCTATAAACCTGGAAAAAAAACCAAATGATCGAAATTCATAACATGATAATATATATTAATGTTGCACTTTATTAATTCGAATTTAATTTATACTCAAAACTCAAAATTTCTCATCAAAGGAAATAAGACAATATACCTTAGCTTATAAAATTCTCAACCCGATAATGAATTGACACCATTCGTCCATAAGTTCATCCAATTGATCTTTTGAGTATTGTGCACAATTGAATTCCTCAAAGTACTACATATATAATAATATAATATAGTATGTGATTTAGTTAAAACAATATGTCATTTTATGAGAAACAAAAAATATGAAAATAGTATGTAATTCCTAAGTTAGAAATCCATACCGTGGATGAAATCTCTAATCGATCTAAAAGAATAGTTGGCGAGGACACTACACATGGAAATAAAATACGAATATATATCAGGATATACCCCAAAAAATATATATAAAATGACAATGCCAAAAATTAACATAAACATAAACTTAAATGTAAACACAAACATAAACATAAACATTTTAATATCTTACCTCTTTCACTAACATCTCTTTCTTTTCTTGGTTGGAACATGAATTACGTGCTTTTTAACAATGCGGACGAATGGATTTATCCAAATTCCCTCATTATGATCATTTCTGATATATGATTCATCCGCTATAATATTCTCATCTTGATCATTTATAATATACGACTCATTCCGTCTAATACATGACTCATTCTCATCATCAATACCACCTTGGTCTACACCGTTATCATCAACCACTTTGTTAAAAAAAAGCACTATAGACCATTTTGTATTCGTCGGGTCAGTGACATAGAACACTTGTTTAGCTTGAGAGGCTGGAATAAAAGGCTCTTCTTTGTACCCCTCTCTATGAAGATCCACTTGCAAAAATCCTGACATATCCATTCGTATGCCACCACTACTTACCCACTTGCAACCAAAGATAGGAATCTGAAACTTCTCGTAATCAAACACCCAAATATGCTCGATAACTCCAAAATATGATAGATTTGCATATTTGGGGTTTAGGTCCTTCATACTATAAATGTGCATTGCTTCAGCAAGCACGGTGACACCACTATTTTGTATAGTACTTTTATCATCTTGTTTTTTGGTATACAATGTGTATCCATTAATTGTGTATGTGCTATAGGAAAACACATGAAAACTTGGACCATATGTCAAACATCTCAATATTTCTGTTATTGAAGCGGTATCTGAATGAAGCTTTGAAAAATATGATCCTTAAACCACGGTATGAAACTTTGATTATGCTCCCGTACTATCCAATTTTCATTTCTATTCTTATTTAACCCTCAGAGTATATCCTTGTGCATTTCAACATATGGATCAACCTCACTGTCATTGTGCAGAACATATAGATGCACTTGATCCCATTCATCTTTTGATACTGTCACAATTTTATTTCCAATTAATCTTTTTCCTGCCTTTTTTTTCAAAGATATGACTTTTGGGGAGTCCAATGGATTGAACTTTGGACAAATATTCAGTATAAAACTCAACCGCTTCTTCAACAATGTATCGCTCAACAATACAACCCTCTGGGCGACTTCAGTTTTTCACGTACCATTTTAATACTTTCATATAACGTTCATCAGGGTACATCCATCTCATATAAGCTGGGCCGCACAACTGTGTCTCTTTCACAAGATGAACAACTAGATGTACCATTATGTCAAAAAATGAGGGAGGAAAATACATTTCAAGCTCACACAAAGTAATAACAATTTCTTTTTGCAATGTTGGTAAGATCTCAGGATCAATCACCTTACTACAAATTGACCTAAAGAAAAATCACAACTTAGTTATCGCACTCCTTACTTTATCTGGCAAAATAGAACGTATACCTATTGGTAGAAAATGCTCCATTATAACATGGCAATCATGTGTATTTAAACTCTTTAACTTGAGGTCTTTCATAGACACAAGTCTTCTAATATCTGAAGAGTATCCTTCTGAAACTTTAACTTCACTTAGAAACTTACACAATATCTTTTTCTCCTTTCTAGATAGATTAAAAGCAGCAGGTGGTAGATATGTTCGGATTTCTTTCTTCACGGGTCCTAGTTCAGTTTGTATTCCCGTCTTTAACATGTCCTCCCTTGCTTTAAGGCCATCCTTAGACTTTCCTTTAATATTAAGTAACGTACCAATAACACTTTCAAATACATTTTTTTCAATATGCATAACATCGAGAAAATGTCTCACATACAGAAACTTCCAATATGGCAATTCAAAAAAAATCGATCTCTTCTTCCACCCACCTTTTACAACCGTATGCGCAAAAGGCTTGCCAAACTGAGTACACACATCTTTCACCTTTTCAAAAACTTGGTCACCTGACAATGCAGGTGGAGCTCTACGTTGTTTGGTGTCTCCATTGAATGCTTTTCTCCATGCACGGTAGTGATGTTTAGAATGTAAGAATCTACGATGACCGAGAAACACATTCTTCTGACAAAGTTCCAAACGCGGAGAAAGACAAATAGAATCAAATTTCAATGGCAAGGTGATAACTCTATTAAGTTTGATAGGTTAAAGATAAACAATGTGTTTCTGAGAGGACCATTAATTCTTTTGTCATAGGTTTCTAAATTTTCCGCTTCTTTTATTTGGTGAGCATAAAAATAGGAGAAAGGGATTCAAATATAATAGTATAATAATAGTAACAATAATGGAACAAAGTATAAAACACACGAGTAACAAAGTGTAATTTATATGAGGCCAATGATTAAACTATTTTTGGCCAATGATTAAAATATGAGGCCACTTTGTTATTTTCAATTTTATCTTTTCTTCTTCAATTTTAACTCCTTTGATGTTTTAATCGTATTATATATTTTTTTTTATTTCTTGTTAGTAATAATTTTTAAATCAGTATATATAAACACTACACTAACACAAAGACACTCTCTTAAATTTTTTTCAAAACCTTGTCCATATGTTTTTCTCAAACCATTGTTCTTAACAAATAAAATATCCAATTATTTTGAAAAAACACATTTCTCATTTAACAATTTATTACTAATTGTTATTATTTTTACACTTTGCACCACTAATACATAACTGATTCTCACTGGTTTCCTTTTCTAATAATTTCAAAACGATCACCATATATTCAATTTTTGTCTCAGAACCTGTAAATACTTAATAATATAACAATCTTCATGTTTCACTCTTCACCATCATGATCATGAAATTTCACACTGCACAAACACTAACATACACCATATTTTCTTGAAACAAGTAGCTTGTTGCATTAGTTAAAGTTACTAAGTTTAGTATCTATAAACATGTATAACTTTATCTTAAGGAATAACCATAGAAAAAGTTACTAAGTTTAGTATCTTAAACATGCATAATATTGATATGTAATGTAACATAGCATAAATGCATAAAAATGCTGAAATTGTAATGAAAAAGAAAATGCAAAAAAGAAAAGAAATAGAATTAGAACAAACCCCAGAATGATTTGCAGAATGATTTGCAGAAGACGGTGGAAACAGTTGAAACGGCAACGAGGAAGCAGTTGAAACGGCGACGGAATCGGGAGGAATCGGGCGGCGACGGTGAGCCGTTGAAACGACGAGGAACAGAGCGAATCGGGCGGCGACGGTGAGGAACGGAGCGGAATCGGGCGGCGACGGTGAGGAACGGAGCGGAATCGGGCGTCGCGGAAGTGGTGTTGGCGGCGACGGTGTTGGCAGCGTCGTGGAAAATGGGTCGATAATGGCAGCGGCGACGGTCGTGGAAAATGGGTCGAAAATGGGTCGAAATGGAAACTGTACAGTTTTCACGTATAAATGAAAATAGTGTTTACACTTTTTTACATCGGTGGAAACCCCCACCGATATAAGGGGTTGGGCTATTACATCGGTGGAAACTCCAACTGATGTAATAGGTTACTTTTTTTTTAAATACGTGTCAGGCTATTACATCGGTGGAAACTTCCACCGATTTAATAGGTTGATTTTTTTTAAATACTTGTTAGGCTATTACATCGGTGGAAACTCCAACCGATGTAATAGGTTGCTTTTTTTCTTAAATACGTGTCAGGCTATTACATCGGTGGAAACTTCCACCGATTTAATAGGTTGATTTTTTTTTTTTAAATACGTGTTGGGCTATTACATCGGTGGAGAGTCCGAACCGATTTAATAGCTTACCTTTTTTTTTTTTTTTACCCACGTTTTTATGATTTATCAATATATTTTATATATTAATTCAATCACATTTTTTACACCGGTTTTTATTTAAACCGATGTAATATATTGCTTATATTTTTTTTAACTTTTTTGTCACCTTGTTTCTTATTTACAAAAATGCCACCGTGTTTTTTTCTGGAAATCTTTTACATCGGTGGATCAGATTGCCCGATGTAATAGGTGACGAAAACATTTTTTTCCCTTATTTTTTATATCATTGGAAATAAATACCTGATGTAAAAAGTTTGTTAACTGTATTTTTTACATCACCTATTTTGATACCCGATGTAAAAACCTTTTCTCAAATGTCTTTTTTTTAGTAGTGGATACATCATGTATTGTACATTCACGAACTGCACAACTCATTAATGTAAATAAAGCATCGTGAACCACAATATACTTCACTTAGGATTAACATAAAAATGAACTAACATATATTAATTATGCAAAACATTAAGTTATACATAAATGGCCTACAAAGGCCATTGAAAGTTATCCATGGATACTGCTAAATTACATGGAAGATGTTTACCGGTTCATTCCTATATTAAAACGGCTTGAATGTTACAAAAACTATATTACTACAAAACATGATAATAACTTTCGCATCATTCATGAACATACACCCCCACTTTCTCTTCCAAAAAACCATATTTCACTTCCACTACTTCATTCCCAATCAACTGCCTCAACGTACCTCATTCATGCGCTCCACACTGACAAAGATTTTACTCGCCAGTGGATATCTAATACAGAAGTGCAACACGTCCCCACCTGTAACTTCCTTTCTTTGGCAAATTTGTACCCTCCACAGGAAATGTACGTCTCCATCGTCTCAGGCCTCCTTTTCAGCATACATTCATGGTAAACATGCAGGTCTGTGCCATGCAACAATATGGAACCTTGTGGTTCATCAAGGCATTCCTTCACCACCCGTAGAGGAATTTGCTGTACATTTACAATACCAACTGAGTATACGTCGCATGTCGATGGAGAAACACTACTACAAAAAAAGGAAAAGACAGCGCTTTTTTGACCTTTAACAGCGCTTTAAAGCGCTGCCTAAAGCAGCGCTGCTAAAAGAAAAGACAACGATTTTTTTCAACGTAAAAGCGCTGCCTTATGTCCACTTTAGACAACGCTTTTAGAATAGACAGCGCTTTTTAATTTTTTCCAGATAGGCTTTAGACAGCACTTTCCTTTGAAAGTGCTGTCTATTCCCCCATTTTAGACAGCGCTTTCAGACTTTAGGCAGCGCTTTTTGTTTTTTAACTTTTTACAGCACTTTTCTCCTAAAGTGCTGTCTATTGTTTACAAATTTTTTTAATAAATTATCTATTTTAATCAGAATTTTTATCATATTTGATAGCTTCATTCCAATATTTTGATCCAGGTTTTCAAAATTATCTTTTATGCTCCATATTCGGTAGTTTCATTCCAATAAAATATATATATATATATATATAAATTGATGATATAGACAACAACAATTACAAAATTTATGATACAAGTTAAAATGCCTAAAAATTCAAAATTGAATTTACATCTAAACATCTTTCTATCTTCGAGAATTCTCAAGAAACAACAACAACATGAATATCTTAGCTCTATCTTCTACACATGTACCTATAAACCTGGAAAAAAAACCAAATGATCGAAATTCATAACATGATAATATATATTAATGTTGCACTTTATTAATTCGAATTTAATTTATACTCAAAACTCAAAATTTCTCATCAAAGGAAATAAGACAATATACCTTAGCTTATAAAATTCTCAACCCGATAATGAATTGACACCATTCGTCCATAAGTTCATCCAATTGATCTTTTGAGTAATGTGCACAATTGAATTCCTCAAAGTACTACATATATAATAATATAATATAGTATGTGATTTAGTTAAAACAATATGTCATTTTATGAGAAACAAAAAATATGAAAATAGTATGTAATTCCTAAGTTAGAAATCCATACCGTGGATGAAATCTCTAATCGATCTAAAAGAATAGTTGGCGAGGACACTACACATGGAAATAAAATACGAATATATATCAGGATATACCCCAAAAAATATATATAAAATGACAATGCCAAAAATTAACATAAACATAAACTTAAATGTAAACACAAACATAAACATAAACATTTTAATATCTTACCTCTTTCACTAACATCTCTTTCTTTTCTTGGTTGGAACATGAATTACGTGCTTTTTAACAATGCGGACGAATGGATTTATCCAAATTCCCTCATTATGATCATTTCTGATATATGATTCATCCGCTATAATATTCTCATCTTGATCATTTATAATATACGACTCATTCCGTCTAATACATGACTCATTCTCATCATCAATACCACCTTGGTCTACACCGTTATCATCAACCACTTTGTTAAAAAAAAGCACTATAGACCATTTTGTATTCGTCGGGTCAGTGACATAGAACACTTGTTTAGCTTGAGAGGCTGGAATAAAAGGCTCTTCTTTGTACCCCTCTCTATGAAGATCCACTTGCAAAAATCCTGACATATCCATTCGTATGCCACCACTACTTACCCACTTGCAACCAAAGATAGGAATCTGAAACTTCTCGTAATCAAACACCCAAATATGCTCGATAACTCCAAAATATGATAGATTTGCATATTTGGGGTTTAGGTCCTTCATACTATAAATGTGCATTGCTTCAGCAAGCACGGTGACACCACTATTTTGTATAGTACTTTTATCATCTTGTTTTTTGGTATACAATGTGTATCCATTAATTGTGTATGCGCTATAGGAAAACACATGAAAACTTGGACCATATGTCAAACATCTCAATCTTTCTGTTATTGAAGCGGTATCTGAATGAAGCTTTGAAAAATATGATCCTTAAACCACGGTATGAAACTTTGATTATGCTCCCGTACTATCCAATTTTCATTTCTATTCTTATTTAACCCTCATAGTATATCCTTGTGCATTTCAACATATGGCTCAACCTCACTGTCATTGTGCAGAACATATAGATGCACTTGATCCCATTCATCTTTTGATACTGTCACAATTTTATTTCCAATTAATCTTTTTCCTGCCTTTTTTTTCAAAGATATGACTTTTGGGGAGTCCAATGGATTGAACTTTGGACAAATATTCAGTATAAAACTCAACCGCTTCTTCAACAATGTATCGCTCAACAATACAACCCTCTGGGCGACTTCAGTTTTTCACGTACCATTTTAATACTTTCATATAACGTTCATCAGGGTACATCTATCTCATATAAGCTGGGCCGCACAACTGTGTCTCTTTCACAAGATGAACAACTAGATGTACCATTATGTCAAAAAATGAGGGAGGAAAATACATTTCAAGCTCACACAAAGTAATAACAATTTCTTTTTGCAATGTTGGTAAGATCTCAGGATCAATCACCTTACTACAAATTGACCTAAAGAAAAATCACAACTTAGTTATCGCACTCCTTACTTTATCTGGCAAAATAGAACGTATACCTATTGGTAGAAAATGCTCCATTATAACATGGCAATCATGTGTATTTAAACTCTTTAACTTGAGGTCTTTCATAGACACAAGTCTTCTAATATCTGAAGAGTATCCTTCTGAAACTTTAACTTCACTTAGAAACTTACACAATATCTTTTTCTCCTTTCTAGATAGATTAAAAGCAGCAGGTGGTAGATATGTTCGGATTTCTTTCTTCACGGGTCCTAGTTCAGTTCGTATTCCCGTCTTTAACATGTCCTCCCTTGCTTTAAGGCCATCCTTAGACTTTCCTTTAATATTAAGTAACGTACCAATAACACTTTCAAATACATTTTTTTCAATATGCATAACATCGAGAAAATGTCTCACATACAGAAACTTCCAATATGGCAATTCAAAAAAAATCGATGTCTTCTTCCACCCACCTTTTACAACCGTATGCGCAAAAGGCTTGCCAAACTGAGTACACACATCTTTCACCTTTTCAAAAACTTGGTCACCTGACAATGCAGGTGGAGCTCTACGTTGTTTGGTGTCTCCATTGAATGCTTTTCTCCATGCACGGTAGTGATGTTTAGAATGTAAGAATCTACGATGACCGAGAAACACATTCTTCTGACAAAGTTCCAAACGCGGAGAAAGACAAATAGAATCAAATTTCAATGGCAAGGTGATAACTCTATTAAGTTTGATAGGTTAAAGATAAACAATGTGTTTCTGAGAGGACCATTAATTCTTTTGTCATAGGTTTCTAAATTTTCCGCTTCTTTTATTTGGTGAGCATAAAAATAGGAGAAAGGGATTCAAATATAATAGTATAATAATAGTAACAATAATGGAACAAAGTATAAAACACACGAGTAACAAAGTGTAATTTATATGAGGCCAATGATTAAACTATTTTTGGCCAATGATTAAAATATGAGGCCACTTTGTTATTTTCAATTTTATCTTTTCTTCTTCAATTTTAACTCCTTTGATGTTTTAATCGTATTATATTTTTTTTTTTATTTCTTGTTAGTAATAATTTTTAAATCAGTATATATAAACACTACACTAACACAAAGACACTCTCTTAAATTTTTTTCAAAACCTTGTCCATATGTTTTTCTCAAACCATTGTTCTTAACAAATAAAATATCCAATTATTTTGAAAAAACACATTTCTCATTTAACAATTTATTACTAATTGTTATTATTTTTACACTTTGCACCACTAATACATAACTGATTCTCACTGGTTTCCTTTTCTAATAATTTCAAAACGATCACCATATATTCAATTTTTGTCTCAGAACCTGTAAATACTTAATAATATAACAATCTTCATGTTTCACTCTTCACCATCATGATCATGAAATTTCACACTGCACAAACACTAACATACACCATATTTTCTTGAAACAAGTAGCTTGTTGCATTAGTTAAAGTTACTAAGTTTAGTATCTATAAACATGTATAACTTTATCTTAAGGAATAACCATAGAAAAAGTTACTAAGTTTAGTATCTTAAACATGCATAATATTGATATGTAATGTAACATAGCATAAATGCATAAAAATGCTGAAATTGTAATGAAAAAGAAAATGCAAAAAAGAAAAGAAATAGAATTAGAACAAACCCCAGAATGATTTGCAGAATGATTTGCAGAAGACGGTGGAAACAGTTGAAACGGCGACGAGGAAGCAGTTGAAACGGCGACGGAATCGGGAGGAATCGGGCGGCGACGGTGAGCCGTTGAAACGACGAGGAACAGAGCAAATCGGGCGGCGACGGTGAGGAACGGAGCGGAATCGGGCGGCGACGGTGAGTAACGGAGCGGAATCGGGCGTCGCGGAAGTGGTGTTGGCGGCGACGGTGTTGGCAGCGTCGTGGAAAATGGGTCGATAATGGCAGCGGCGACGGTCGTGGAAAATGGGTCGAAAATGGGTCGAAATGGAAACTGTACAGTTTTCACGTATAAATGAAAATAGTGTTTACACTTTTTTACATCGGTGGAAACCCCCACCGATATAAGGGGTTGGGCTATTACATCGGTGGAAACTCCAACTGATGTAATAGGTTACTTTTTTTTTTAAATACGTGTCAGGCTATTACATCGGTGGAAACTTCCACCGATTTAATAGGTTGATTTTTTTTTAAATACTTGTTAGGCTATTACATCGGTGGAAACTCCAACCGATGTAATAGGTTGCTTTTTTTCTTAAATACGTGTCAGGCTATTACATCGGTGGAAACTTCCACCGATTTAATAGGTTGATTTTTTTTTTTAAATACGTGTTGGGCTATTACATCGGTGGAGAGTCCGAACCGATTTAATAGCTTACCTTTTTTTTTTTTTTACCCACGTTTTTATGATTTATCAATATATTTTATATATTAATTCAATCACATTTTTTACACCGGTTTTTATTTAAACCGATGTAATATATTGCTTATATTTTTTTTAACTTTTTTGTCACCTTGTTTCTTATTTACAAAAATGCCACCGTGTTTTTTTCTGGAAATCTTTTACATCGGTGGATCAGATTGCCCGATGTAATAGGTGACGAAAAAAATTTTTTCCCTTATTTTTTATATCATTGGAAATAAATACCTGATGTAAAAAGTTTGTTAACTGTATTTTTTACATCACCTATTTTGATACCCGATGTAAAAACCTTTTCTCAAATGTCTTTTTTTTAGTAGTGGATACATCATGTATTGTACATTCACGAACTGCACAACTCATTAATGTAAATAAAGCATCGTGAACCACAATATACTTCACTTAGGATTAACATAAAAATGAACTAACATATATTAATTATGCAAAACATTAAGTTATACATAAATGGCCTACAAAGGCCATTGAAAGTTATCCATGGATACTGCTAAATTACATGGAAGATGTTTACCGGTTCATTCCTATATTAAAACGGCTTGAATGTTACAAAAACTATATTACTACAAAACATGATAATAACTTTCGCATCATTCATGAACATACACCCCCACTTTCTCTTCCAAAAAACCATATTTCACTTCCACTACTTCATTCCCAATCAACTGCCTCAACGTACCTCATTCATGCGCTCCACACTGACAAAGATTTTACTCGCCGGTGGATATCTAATACAGAAGTGCAACACGTCCCCACCTGTAACTTCCTTTCTTTGGCAAATTTGTACCCTCCACAGGAAATGTACGTCTCCATCGTCTCAGGCCTCCTTTTCAGCATACATTCATGGTAAACATGCAGGTCTGTGCCATGCAACAATATGGAACCTTGTGGTTCATCAAGGCATTCCTTCACCACCCGTAGAGGAATTTGCTGTACATTTACAATACCAACTGAGTATACGTCGCATGTCGATGGAGAAACACTACTACAAAAAAAGGAAAAGACAGCGCTTTTTTGACCTTTAACAGCGCTTTAAAGCGCTGCCTAAAGCAGCGCTGCTAAAAGAAAAGACAACGATTTTTTTCAACGTAAAAGCGCTGCCTTATGTCCACTTTAGACAACGCTTTTAGAATAGACAGCGCTTTTTAATTTTTTCCAGATAGGCTTTAGACAGCACTTTCCTTTGAAAGTGCTGTCTATTCCCCCATTTTAGACAGCGCTTTCAGACTTTAGGCAGCGCTTTTTGTTTTTTAACTTTTTACAGCACTTTTCTCCTAAAGTGCTGTCTATTGTTTACAAATTTTTTTAATAAATTATCTATTTTAATCAGAATTTTTATCATATTTGATAGCTTCATTCCAATATTTTGATCCAGGTTTTCAAAATTATCTTTTATGCTCCATATTCGGTAGTTTCATTCCAATAAAATATATATATATATATATATATATAAATTGATGATATAGACAACAACAATTACAAAATTTATGATACAAGTTAAAATGCCTAAAAATTCAAAATTGAATTTACATCTAAACATCTTTCTATCTTCGAGAATTCTCAAGAAACAACAACAACATGAATATCTTAGCTCTATCTTCTACACATGTACCTATAAACCTGGAAAAAAAACCAAATGATCGAAATTCATAACATGATAATATATATTAATGTTGCACTTTATTAATTCGAATTTAATTTATACTCAAAACTCAAAATTTCTCATCAAAGGAAATAAGACAATATACCTTAGCTTATAAAATTCTCAACCCGATAATGAATTGACACCATTCGTCCATAAGTTCATCCAATTGATCTTTTGAGTAATGTGCACAATTGAATTCCTCAAAGTACTACATATATAATAATATAATATAGTATGTGATTTAGTTAAAACAATATGTCATTTTATGAGAAACAAAAAATATGAAAATAGTATGTAATTCCTAAGTTAGAAATCCATACCGTGGATGAAATCTCTAATCGATCTAAAAGAATAGTTGGCGAGGACACTACACATGGAAATAAAATACGAATATATATCAGGATATACCCCAAAAAATATATATAAAATGACAATGCCAAAAATTAACATAAACATAAACTTAAATGTAAACACAAACATAAACATAAACATTTTAATATCTTACCTCTTTCACTAACATCTCTTTCTTTTCTTGGTTGGAACATGAATTACGTGCTTTTTAACAATGCGGACGAATGGATTTATCCAAATTCCCTCATTATGATCATTTCTGATATATGATTCATCCGCTATAATATTCTCATCTTGATCATTTATAATATACGACTCATTCCGTCTAATACATGACTCATTCTCATCATCAATACCACCTTGGTCTACACCGTTATCATCAACCACTTTGTTAAAAAAAAGCACTATAGACCATTTTGTATTCGTCGGGTCAGTGACATAGAACACTTGTTTAGCTTGAGAGGTTGGAATAAAAGGCTCTTCTTTGTACCCCTCTCTATGAAGATCCACTTGCAAAAATCCTGACATATCCATTCGTATGCCACCACTACTTACCCACTTGCAACCAAAGATAGGAATCTGAAACTTCTCGTAATCAAACACCCAAATATGCTCGATAACTCTAAAATATGATAGATTTGCATATTTGGGGTTTAGGTCCTTCATACTATAAATGTGCATTGCTTCAGCAAGCACGGTGACACCACTATTTTGTATAGTACTTTTATCATCTTGTTTTTTGGTATACAATGTGTATCCATTAATTGTGTATGCGCTATAGGAAAACACATGAAAACTTGGACCATATGTCAAACATCTCAATCTTTCTGTTATTGAAGCGGTATCTGAATGAAGCTTTGAAAAATATGATCCTTAAACCACGGTATGAAACTTTGATTATGCTCCCGTACTATCCAATTTTCATTTCTATTCTTATTTAACCCTCAGAGTATATCCTTGTGCATTTCAACATATGGCTCAACCTCACTGTCATTGTGCAGAACATATAGATGCACTTGATCCCATTCATCTTTTGATACTGTCACAATTTTATTTCCAATTAATCTTTTTCCTGCCTTTTTTTTCAAAGATATGACTTTTGGGGAGTCCAATGGATTGAACTTTGGACAAATATTCAGTATAAAACTCAACCGCTTCTTCAACAATGTATCGCTCAACAATACAACCCTCTGGGCGACTTCAGTTTTTCACGTACCATTTTAATACTTTCATATAACGTTCATCAGGGTACATCCATCTCATATAAGCTGGGCCGCACAACTGTGTCTCTTTCACAAGATGAACAACTAGATGTACCATTATGTCAAAAAATGAGGGAGGAAAATACATTTCAAGCTCACACAAAGTAATAACAATTTCTTTTTGCAATGTTGGTAAGATCTCAGGATCAATCACCTTACTACAAATTGACCTAAAGAAAAATCACAACTTAGTTATCGCACTCCTTACTTTATCTGGCAAAATAGAACGTATACCTATTGGTAGAAAATGCTCCATTATAACATGGCAATCATGTGTATTTAAACTCTTTAACTTGAGGTCTTTCATAGACACAAGTCTTCTAATATCTGAAGAGTATCCTTCTGAAACTTTAACTTCACTTAGAAACTTACACAATATCTTTTTCTCCTTTCTAGATAGATTAAAAGCAGCAGGTGGTAGATATGTTCGGATTTCTTTCTTCACGGGTCCTAGTTCAGTCCGTATTCCCGTCTTTAACATGTCCTCCCTTGCTTTAAGGCCATCCTTAGACTTTCCTTTAATATTAAGTAACGTACCAATAACACTTTCAAATACATTTTTTTCAATATGCATAACATCGAGAAAATGTCTCACATACAGAAACTTCCAATATGGCAATTCAAAAAAAATCGATCTCTTCTTCCACCCACCTTTTACAACCGTATGCGCAAAAGGCTTGCCAAACTGAGTACACACATCTTTCACCTTTTCAAAAACTTGGTCACCTGACAATGCAGGTGGAGCTCTACGTTGTTTGGTGTCTCCATTGAATGCTTTTCTCCATGCACGGTAGTGATGTTTAGAATGTAAGAATCTACGATGACCGAGAAACACATTCTTCTGACAAAGTTCCAAACGCGGAGAAAGACAAATTGAATCAAATTTCAATGGCAAGGTGATAACTCTATTAAGTTTGATAGGTTAAAGATAAACAATGTGTTTCTGAGAGGACCATTAATTCTTTTGTCATAGGTTTCTAAATTTTCCGCTTCTTTTATTTGGTGAGCATAAAAATAGGAGAAAGGGATTCAAATATAATAGTATAATAATAGTAACAATAATGGAACAAAGTATAAAACACACGAGTAACAAAGTGTAATTTATATGAGGCCAATGATTAAACTATTTTTGGCCAATGATTAAAATATGAGGCCACTTTGTTATTTTCAATTTTATCTTTTCTTCTTCAATTTTAACTCCTTTGATGTTTTAATCGTATTATATATATTTTTTTATTTCTTGTTAGTAATAATTTTTAAATCAGTATATATAAACACTACACTAACACAAAGACACTCTCTTAAATTTTTTTCAAAACCTTGTCCATATGTTTTTCTCAAACCATTGTTCTTAACAAATAAAATATCCAATTATTTTGAAAAAACACATTTCTCATTTAACAATTTATTACTAATTGTTATTATTTTTACACTTTGCACCACACATAACTGATTCTCACTGGTTTCCTTTTCTAATAATTTCAAAACGATCACCATATATTCAATTTTTGTCTCAGAACCTGTAAATACTTAATAATATAACAATCTTCATGTTTCACTCTTCACCATCATGATCATGAAATTTCACACTGCACAAACACTAACATACACCATATTTTCTTGAAACAAGTAGCTTGTTGCATTAGTTAAAGTTACTAAGTTTAGTATCTATAAACATGTATAACTTTATCTTAAGGAATAACCATAGAAAAAGTTACTAAGTTTAGTATCTTAAACATGCATAATATTGATATGTAATGTAACATAGCATAAATGTATAAAAATGTTGAAATTGTAATGAAAAAGAAAATGCAAAAAAGAAAAGAAATAGAATTAGAACAAACCCCAGAATGATTTGCAGAATGATTTGCAGAAGACGGTGGAAACAGTTGAAACGGCAACGAGGAAGCAGTTGAAACAGCGACGGAATCGGGAGGAATCGGGCGGCGACGGTGAGCCGTTGAAACGGCGAGGAACAGAGCGAATCGGGCGGCGACGGTGAGGAACGGAGCGGAATCGGGCGGCGACGGTGAGTAACGGAGCGGAATCGGGCGTCGCGGAAGTGGTGTTGGCGGCGACGGTGTTGGCAGCGTCGTGGAAAATGGGTCGATAATGGCAGCGGCGACGGTCGTGGAAAATGGGTCGAAAATGGGTCGAAATGGAAACTGTACAGTTTTCACGTATAAATGAAAATAGTGTTTACACTTTTTTACATCGGTGGAAACCCCCACCGATATAAGGGGTTGGGCTATTACATCGGTGGAAACTCCAACCGATGTAATAGGTTGCTTTTTTTTTTAAATACGTGTCAGGCTATTACATCGGTGGAAACTTCCACCGATTTAATAGGTTGATTTTTTTTTTTTTAAATACTTGTTAGGCTATTACATCGGTGGAAACTCCAACCGATGTAATAGGTTGCTTTTTTTTTTAAATACGTGTCAGGCTATTACATCGGTGGAAACTTCCACCGATTTAATAGGTTGATTTTTTTTTTTTAAATACGTGTTGGGCTATTACATCGGTGGAGAGTCCGAACCGATGTAATAGCTTACCTTTTTTTTTTTTTTTACCCACGTTTTTATGATTTATCAATATATTTTATATATTAATTCAATCACATTTTTTACATCGGTTTTTATTTAAACCGATGTAATATATTGCTTATATTTTTTTTAACTTTTTTGTCACCTTGTTTCTTATTTACAAAAATGCCACCGTGTTTTTTTCTGGAAATCTTTTACATCGGTGGATCAGATTGCCCGATGTAATAGGTGACGAAAAAAATTTTTTCCCTTATTTTTTATATCATTGGAAATAAATACCTGATGTAAAAAGTTTGTTAACTGTATTTTTTACATCACCTATTTGATACCCGATGTAAAAACCTTTTCTCAAATGTCTTTTTTTTAGTAGTGGATACATCATGCATTGTACATTCACGAACTGCACAACTCATTAATGTAAATAAAGCATCGTGAACCACAATATACTTCACTTAGGATTAACATAAAAATGAACTAACATATATTAATTATGCAAAACATTAAGTTATACATAAATGGCCTACAAGGGCCATTGAAAGTTATCCATGGATACTGCTAAATTACATGGAAGATGTTTACCAGTTCATTCCTATATTAAAACGGCTTGAATGTTACAAAAACTATATTACTACAAAACATGATAATAACTTTCGCATCATTCATGAACATACGCCCCCACTTTCTCTTCCAAAAAACCATATTTCACTTCCACTACTTCATTCCCAATCAACTGCCTCAACGTACCTCATTCATGCGCTCCACACTGACAAAGATTTTACTCGCCGGTGGATATCTAATACAGAAGTGCAACACGTCCCCACCTGTAACTTCCTTTCTTTGGCAAATTTGTACCATCCACAGAAAATGTACGTCTCCATCGTCTCAGGCCTCCTTTTCAGCATACATTCATGGTAAACATGCAGGTCTGTGCCATGCAACAATATGGAACCTTGTGGTTCATCAAGGCATTCCTTCACCACCCGTAGAGGAATTTGCTGTACATTTACAATACCAACTGAGTATACGTCACATGTCGATGGAGAAACACTACTACAAAAAAAAGGAAAAGACAACACTTTTTTGACCTTTAACAGCGCTTTAAAGCGCTGCCTAAAGCAGCGCTGCTAAAAGAAAAGACAACGCTTTTTTTCAACGTAAAAGCGCTGCCTTATGTCCACTTTAGACAACGCTTTTAGAATAGACAGCGCTTTTTAATTTTTTCCAGATAGGCTTTAGACAGCACTTTCCTTTGAAAGTGCTGTCTATTCCCCCATTTTAGACAGCGCTTTTCAGACTTTAGGCAGCGCTTTTTGTTTTTTAACTTTTTACAGCACTTTTCTCCTAAAGTGCTGTCTATTGTTTACAATTTTTTTTAATAAATTATCTATTTTAATCAGAATTTTTATCATATTTGATAGCTTCATTCCAATATTTTGATCCAGGTTTTCAAAATTATCTTTTATGCTCCATATTCGGTAGTTTCATTCCAATAAAATATATATATATAAATTGATGATATAGACAACAACAATTACAAAATTTATGATACAAGTTAAAATGCCTAAAAATTCAAAATTGAATTTACATCTAAACATCTTTCTATCTTCGAGAATTCTCAAGAAACAACAACAACATGAATATCTTAGCTCTATCTTCTACACATGTACCTATAAACCTGGAAAAAAAACCAAATGATCGAAATTCATAACATGATAATATATATTAATGTTGCACTTTATTAATTCGAATTTAATTTATACTCAAAACTCAAAATTTCTCATCAAAGGAAATAAGACAATATACCTTAGCTTATAAAATTCTCAACCCGATAATGAATTGACACCATTCGTCCATAAGTTCATCCAATTGATCTTTTGAGTAATGTGCACAATTGAATTCCTCAAAGTACTACATATATAATAATATAACATAGTATGTGATTTAGTTAAAACAATATGTCATTTTATGAGAAACAAAAAATATGAAAATAGTATGTAATTCCTAAGTTAGAAATCCATACCGTGGATGAAATCTCTAATCGATCTAAAAGAATAGTTGGCGAGGACACTACACATGGAAATAAAATACGAATATATATCAGGATATACCCCAAAAAATATATATAAAATGACAATGCCAAAAATTAACATAAACATAAACTTAAATGTAAACACAAACATAAACATAAACATTTTAATATCTTACCTCTTTCACTAACATCTCTTTCTTTTCTTGGTTGGAACATGAATTACGTGCTTTTTAACAATGCGGACGAATGGATTTATCCAAATTCCCTCATTATGATCATTTCTGATATATGATTCATCCGCTATAATATTCTCATCTTGATCATTTATAATATACGACTCATTCCGTCTAATACATGACTCATTCTCATCATCAATACCACCTTGGTCTACACCGTTATCATCAACCACTTTGTTAAAAAAAAGCTCTATAGACCATTTTGTATTCGTCGGGTCAGTGACATAGAACACTTGTTTAGCTTGAGAGGCTGGAATAAAAGGCTCTTCTTTGTACCCCTCTCTATGAAGATCCACTTGCAAAAATCCTGACATATCCATTCGTATGCCACCACTACTTACCCACTTGCAACCAAAGATAGGAATCTGAAACTTCTCGTAATCAAACACCCAAATATGCTCGATAACTCCAAAATATGATAGATTTGCATATTTGGGGTTTAGGTACTTCATACTATAAATGTGCATTGCTTCAGCAAGCACGGTGACACCACTATTTTGTATAGTACTTTTATCATCTTGTTTTTTGGTATACAATGTGTATCCATTAATTGTGTATGCGCTATAGGAAAACACATGAAAACTTGGACCATATGTCAAACATCTCAATCTTTCTGTTATTGAAGCGGTATCTGAATGAAGCTTTGAAAAATATGATCCTTAAACCACGGTATGAAACTTTGATTATGCTCCCGTACTATCCAATTTTCATTTCTATTCTTATTTAACCCTCATAGTATATCCTTGTGCATTTCAACATATGGCTCAACCTCACTGTCATTGTGCAGAACATATAGATGCACTTGATCCCATTCATCTTTTGATACTGTCACAATTTTATTTCCAATTAATCTTTTTCCTGCCTTTTTTTTCAAAGATATGACTTTTGGGGAGTCCAATGGATTGAACTTTGGACAAATATTCAGTATAAAACTCAACCGCTTCTTCAACAATGTATCGCTCAACAATACAACCCTCTGGGCGACTTCAGTTTTTCACGTACCATTTTAATACTTTCATATAACGTTCATCAGGGTACATCTATCTCATATAAGCTGGGCCGCACAACTGTGTCTCTTTCACAAGATGAACAACTAGATGTACCATTATGTCAAAAAATGAGGGAGGAAAATACATTTCAAGCTCACACAAAGTAATAACAATTTCTTTTTGCAATGTTGGTAAGATCTCAGGATCAATCACCTTACTACAAATTGACCTAAAGAAAAATCACAACTTAGTTATCGCACTCCTTACTTTATCTGGCAAAATAGAACGTATACCTATTGGTAGAAAATGCTCCATTATAACATGGCAATCATGTGTATTTAAACTCTTTAACTTGAGGTCTTTCATAGACACAAGTCTTCTAATATCTGAAGAGTATCCTTCTGAAACTTTAACTTCACTTAGAAACTTACACAATATCTTTTTCTCCTTTCTAGATAGATTAAAAGCAGCAGGTGGTAGATATGTTCGGATTTCTTTCTTCACGGGTCCTAGTTCAGTTCGTATTCCCGTCTTTAACATGTCCTCCCTTGCTTTAAGGCCATCCTTAGACTTTCCTTTAATATTAAGTAACGTACCAATAACACTTTCAAATACATTTTTTTCAATATGCATAACATCGAGAAAATGTCTCACATACAGAAACTTCCAATATGGCAATTCAAAAAAAATCGATCTCTTCTTCCACCCACCTTTTACAACCGTATGCGCAAAAGGCTTGCCAAACTGAGTACACACATCTTTCACCTTTTCAAAAACTTGGTCACCTGACAATGCAGGTGGAGCTCTACGTTGTTTGGTGTCTCCATTGAATGCTTTTCTCCATGCACGGTAGTGATGTTTAGAATGTAAGAATCTACGATGACCGAGAAACACATTCTTCTGACAAAGTTCCAAACGCGGAGAAAGACAAATAGAATCAAATTTCAATGGCAAGGTGATAACTCTATTAAGTTTGATAGGTTAAAGATAAACAATGTGTTTCTGAGAGGACCATTAATTCTTTTGTCATAGGTTTCTAAATTTTCCGCTTCTTTTATTTGGTGAGCATAAAAATAGGAGAAAGGGATTCAAATATAATAGTATAATAATAGTAACAATAATGGAACAAAGTATAAAACACACGAGTAACAAAGTGTAATTTATATGAGGCCAATGATTAAACTATTTTTGGCCAATGATTAAAATATGAGGCCACTTTGTTATTTTCAATTTTATCTTTTCTTCTTCAATTTTAACTCCTTTGATGTTTTAATCGTATTATATATTTTTTTTTATTTCTTGTTAGTAATAATTTTTAAATCAGTATATATAAACACTACACTAACACAAAGACACTCTCTTAAATTTTTTTCAAACCTTGTCCATATGTTTTTCTCAAACCATTGTTCTTAACAAATAAAATATCCAATTATTTTGAAAAAACACATTTCTCATTTAACAATTTATTACTAATTGTTATTATTTTTACACTTTGCACCACTAATACATAACTGATTCTCACTGGTTTCCTTTTCTAATAATTTCAAAACGATCACCATATATTCAATTTTTGTCTCAGAACCTGTAAATACTTAATAATATAACAATCTTCATGTTTCACTCTTCACCATCATGATCATGAAATTTCACACTGCACAAACACTAACATACACCATATTTTCTTGAAACAAGTAGCTTGTTGCATTAGTTAAAGTTACTAAGTTTAGTATCTATAAACATGTATAACTTTATCTTAAGGAATAACCATAGAAAAAGTTACTAAGTTTAGTATCTTAAACATGCATAATATTGATATGTAATGTAACATAGCATAAATGCATAAAAATGCTGAAATTGTAATGAAAAAGAAAATGCAAAAAAGAAAAGAAATAGAATTAGAACAAACCCCAGAATGATTTGCAGAATGATTTGCAGAAGACGGTGGAAACAGTTGAAACGGCGACGAGGAAGCAGTTGAAACGGCGACGGAATCGGGAGGAATCGGGCGGCGACGGTGAGCCGTTGAAACGACGAGGAACAGAGCAAATCGGGCGGCGACGGTGAGGAACGGAGCGGAATCGGGCGGCGACGGTGAGTAACGGAGCGGAATCGGGCGTCGCGGAAGTGGTGTTGGCGGCGACGGTGTTGGCAGCGTCGTGGAAAATGGGTCGATAATGGCAGCGGCGACGGTCGTGGAAAATGGGTCGAAAATGGGTCGAAATGGAAACTGTACAGTTTTCACGTATAAATGAAAATAGTGTTTACACTTTTTTACATCGGTGGAAACCCCCACCGATATAAGGGGTTGGGCTATTACATCGGTGGAAACTCCAACTGATGTAATAGGTTACTTTTTTTTTTAAATACGTGTCAGGCTATTACATCGGTGGAAACTTCCACCGATTTAATAGGTTGATTTTTTTTTAAATACTTGTTAGGCTATTACATCGGTGGAAACTCCAACCGATGTAATAGGTTGCTTTTTTTCTTAAATACGTGTCAGGCTATTACATCGGTGGAAACTTCCACCGATTTAATAGGTTGATTTTTTTTTTTAAATACGTGTTGCGCTATTACATCGGTGGAGAGTCCGAACCGATTTAATAGCTTACCTTTTTTCTTTTTTTTTACCCACGTTTTTATGATTTATCAATATATTTTATATATTAATTCAATCACATTTTTTACACCGGTTTTTATTTAAACCGATGTAATATATTGCTTATATTTTTTTAAACTTTTTTGTCACCTTGTTTCTTATTTACAAAAATGCCACCGTGTTTTTTTCTGGAAATCTTTTACATCGGTGGATCAGATTGCCCGATGTAATAGGTGACGAAAAAAAATTTTTCCCTTATTTTTTATATCATTGGAAATAAATACCTGATGTAAAAAGTTTGTTAACTGTATTTTTTACATCACCTATTTTGATACCCGATGTAAAAACCTTTTCTCAAATGTCTTTTTTTTAGTAGTGGATACATCATGTATTGTACATTCACGAACTGCACAACTCATTAATGTAAATAAAGCATCGTGAACCACAATATACTTCACTTAGGATTAACATAAAAATGAACTAACATATATTAATTATGCAAAACATTAAGTTATACATAAATGGCCTACAAAGGCCATTGAAAGTTATCCATGGATACTGCTAAATTACATGGAAGATGTTTACCGGTTCATTCCTATATTAAAACGGCTTGAATGTTACAAAAACTATATTACTACAAAACATGATAATAACTTTCGCATCATTCATGAACATACACCCCCACTTTCTCTTCCAAAAAACCATATTTCACTTCCACTACTTCATTCCCAATCAACTGCCTCAACGTACCTCATTCATGCGCTCCACACTGACAAAGATTTTACTCGCCGGTGGATATCTAATACAGAAGTGCAACACGTCCCCACCTGTAACTTCCTTTCTTTGGCAAATTTGTACCCTCCACAGGAAATGTACGTCTCCATCGTCTCAGGCCTCCTTTTCAGCATACATTCATGGTAAACATGCAGGTCTGTGCCATGCAACAATATGGAACCTTGTGGTTCATCAAGGCATTCCTTCACCACCCGTAGAGGAATTTGCTGTACATTTACAATACCAACTGAGTATACGTCGCATGTCGATGGAGAAACACTACTACAAAAAAAGGAAAAGACAGCGCTTTTTTGACCTTTAACAGCGCTTTAAAGCGCTGCCTAAAGCAGCGCTGCTAAAAGAAAAGACAACGATTTTTTTCAACGTAAAAGCGCTGCCTTATGTCCACTTTAGACAACGCTTTTAGAATAGACAGCGCTTTTTAATTTTTTCCAGATAGGCTTTAGACAGCACTTTCCTTTGAAAGTGCTGTCTATTCCCCCATTTTAGACAGCGCTTTCAGACTTTAGGCAGCGCTTTTTGTTTTTTAACTTTTTACAGCACTTTTCTCCTAAAGTGCTGTCTACTGTTTACAAATTTTTTTAATAAATTATCTATTTTAATCAGAATTTTTATCATATTTGATAGCTTCATTCCAATATTTTGATCCAGGTTTTCAAAATTATCTTTTATGCTCCATATTCGGTAGTTTCATTCCAATAAAAAATATATATATATATATAAATTGATGATATAGACAACAACAATTACAAAATTTATGATACAAGTTAAAATGCCTAAAAATTCAAAATTGAATTTACATCTAAACATCTTTCTATCTTCGAGAATTCTCAAGAAACAACAACAACATGAATATCTTAGCTCTATCTTCTACACATGTACCTATAAACCTGGAAAAAAAACCAAATGATCGAAATTCATAACATGATAATATATATTAATGTTGCACTTTATTAATTCGAATTTAATTTATACTCAAAACTCAAAATTTCTCATCAAAGGAAATAAGACAATATACCTTAGCTTATAAAATTCTCAACCCGATAATGAATTGACACCATTCGTCCATAAGTTCATCCAATTGATCTTTTGAGTAATGTGCACAATTGAATTCCTCAAAGTACTACATATATAATAATATAATATAGTATGTGATTTAGTTAAAACAATATGTCATTTTATGAGAAACAAAAAATATGAAAATAGTATGTAATTCCTAAGTTAGAAATCCATACCGTGGATGAAATCTCTAATCGATCTAAAAGAATAGTTGGCGAGGACACTACACATGGAAATAAAATACGAATATATATCAGGATATACCCCAAAAAATATATATAAAATGACAATGCCAAAAATTAACATAAACATAAACTTAAATGTAAACACAAACATAAACATAAACATTTTAATATCTTACCTCTTTCACTAACATCTCTTTCTTTTCTTGGTTGGAACATGAATTACGTGCTTTTTAACAATGCGGACGAATGGATTTATCCAAATTCCCTCATTATGATCATTTCTGATATATGATTCATCCGCTATAATATTCTCATCTTGATCATTTATAATATACGACTCATTCCGTCTAATACATGACTCATTCTCATCATCAATACCACCTTGGTCTACACCGTTATCATCAACCACTTTGTTAAAAAAAAGCACTATAGACCATTTTGTATTCGTCGGGTCAGTGACATAGAACACTTGTTTAGCTTGAGAGGCTGGAATAAAAGGCTCTTCTTTGTACCCCTCTCTATGAAGATCCACTTGCAAAAATCCTGACATATCCATTCGTATGCCACCACTACTTACCCACTTGCAACCAAAGATAGGAATCTGAAACTTCTCGTAATCAAACACCCAAATATGCTCGATAACTTCAAAATATGATAGATTTGCATATTTGGGGTTTAGGTCCTTCATACTATAAATGTGCATTGCTTCAGCAAGCACGGTGACACCACTATTTTGTATAGTACTTTTATCATCTTGTTTTTTGGTATACAATGTGTATCCATTAATTGTGTATGCGCTATAGGAAAACACATGAAAACTTGGACCATATGTCAAACATCTCAATCTTTCTGTTATTGAAGCGGTATCTGAATGAAGCTTTGAAAAATATGATCCTTAAACCACGGTATGAAACTTTGATTATGCTCCCGTACTATCCAATTTTCATTTCTATTCTTATTTAACCCTCAGAGTATATCCTTGTGCATTTCAACATATGGCTCAACCTCACTGTCATTGTGCAGAACATATAGATGCACTTGATCCCATTCATCTTTTGATACTGTCACAATTTTATTTCCAATTAATCTTTTTCCTGCCTTTTTTTTCAAAGATATGACTTTTGGGGAGTCCAATGGATTGAACTTTGGACAAATATTCAGTATAAAACTCAACCGCTTCTTCAACAATGTATCGCTCAACAATACAACCCTCTGGGCGACTTCAGTTTTTCACATACCATTTTAATACTTTCATATAACGTTCATCAGGGTACATCCATCTCATATAAGCTGGGCCGCACAACTGTGTCTCTTTCACAAGATGAACAACTAGATGTACCATTATGTCAAAAAATGAGGGAGGAAAATACATTTCAAGCTCACACAAAGTAATAACAATTTCTTTTTGCAATGTTGGTAAGATCTCAGGATCAATCACCTTACTACAAATTGACCTAAAGAAAAATCACAACTTAGTTATCGCACTCCTTACTTTATCTGGCAAAATAGAACGTATACCTATTGGTAGAAAATGCTCCATTATAACATGGCAATCATGTGTATTTAAACTCTTTAACTTGAGGTCTTTCATAGACACAAGTCTTCTAATATCTGAAGAGTATCCTTCTGAAACTTTAACTTCACTTAGAAACTTACACAATATCTTTTTCTCCTTTCTAGATAGATTAAAAGCAGCAGGTGGTAGATATGTTCGGATTTCTTTCTTCACGGGTCCTAGTTCAGTCCGTATTCCCGTCTTTAACATGTCCTCCCTTGCTTTAAGGCCATCCTTAGACTTTCCTTTAATATTAAGTAACGTACCAATAACACTTTCAAATACATTTTTTTCAATATGCATAACATCGAGAAAATGTCTCACATACAGAAACTTCCAATATGGCAATTCAAAAAAAATCGATCTCTTCTTCCACCCACCTTTTACAACCGTATGCGCAAAAGGCTTGCCAAACTGAGTACACACATCTTTCACCTTTTCAAAAACTTGGTCACCTGACAATGCAGGTGGAGCTCTACGTTGTTTGGTGTCTCCATTGAATGCTTTTCTCCATGCACGGTAGTGATGTTTAGAATGTAAGAATCTACGATGACCGAGAAACACATTCTTCTGACAAAGTTCCAAACGCGGAGAAAGACAAATTGAATCAAATTTCAATGGCAAGGTGATAACTCTATTAAGTTTGATAGGTTAAAGATAAACAATGTGTTTCTGAGAGGACCATTAATTCTTTTGTCATAGGTTTCTAAATTTTCCGCTTCTTTTATTTGGTGAGCATAAAAATAGGAGAAAGGGATTCAAATATAATAGTATAATAATAGTAACAATAATGGAACAAAGTATAAAACACACGAGTAACAAAGTGTAATTTATATGAGGCCAATGATTAAACTATTTTTGGCCAATGATTAAAATATGAGGCCACTTTGTTATTTTCAATTTTATCTTTTCTTCTTCAATTTTAACTCCTTTGATGTTTTAATCGTATTATATATATTTTTTTATTTCTTGTTAGTAATAATTTTTAAATCAGTATATATAAACACTACACTAACACAAAGACACTCTCTTAAATTTTTTTCAAAACCTTGTCCATATGTTTTTCTCAAACCATTGTTCTTAACAAATAAAATATCCAATTATTTTGAAAAAACACATTTCTCATTTAACAATTTATTACTAATTGTTATTATTTTTACACTTTGCACCACTAATACATAACTGATTCTCACTGGTTTCCTTTTCTAATAATTTCAAAACGATCACCATATATTCAATTTTTGTCTCAGAACCTGTAAATACTTAATAATATAACAATCTTCATGTTTCACTCTTCACCATCATGATCATGAAATTTCACACTGCACAAACACTAACATACACCATATTTTCTTGAAACAAGTAGCTTGTTGCATTAGTTAAAGTTACTAAGTTTAGTATCTATAAACATGTATAACTTTATCTTAAGGAATAACCATAGAAAAAGTTACTAAGTTTAGTATCTTAAACATGCATAATATTGATATGTAATGTAACATAGCATAAATGCATAAAAATGTTGAAATTGTAATGAAAAAGAAAATGCAAAAAAGAAAAGAAATAGAATTAGAACAAACCCCAGAATGATTTGCAGAATGATTTGCAGAAGACGGTGGAAACAGTTGAAACGGCAACGAGGAAGCAGTTGAAACGGCGACGGAATCGGGAGGAATCGGGCGGCGACGGTGAGCCGTTGAAATGGCGAGGAACAGAGCGAATCGGGCGGCGACGGTGAGGAACGGAGCGGAATCGGGCGGCGACGGTGAGTAACGGAGCGGAATCGGGCGTCGCGGAAGTGGTGTTGGCGGCGACGGTGTTGGCAGCGTCGTGGAAAATGGGTCGATAATGGCAGCGGCGACGGTCGTGGAAAATGGGTCGAAAATGGGTCGAAATGGAAACTGTACAGTTTTCACGTATAAATGAAAATAGTGTTTACACTTTTTTACATCGGTGGAAACCCCCACCGATATAAGGGGTTGGGCTATTACATCGGTGGAAACTCCAACCGATGTAATAGGTTGCTTTTTTTTTTAAATACGTGTCAGGCTATTACATCGGTGGAAACTTCCACCGATTTAATAGGTTGATTTTTTTTTTTTAAAATACTTGTTAGGCTATTACATCGGTGGAAACTCCAACCGATGTAATAGGTTGCTTTTTTTTTTAAATACGTGTCAGGCTATTACATCGGTGGAAACTTCCACCGATTTAATAGGTTGATTTTTTTTTTTAAATACGTGTTGGGCTATTACATCGGTGGAGAGTCCGAACCGATGTAATAGCTTACCTTTTTTTTTTTTTTTACCCACGTTTTTATGATTTATCAATATATTTTATATATTAATTCAATCACATTTTTTACATCGGTTTTTATTTAAACCGATGTAATATATTGCTTATATTTTTTTTAACTTTTTTGTCACCTTGTTTCTTATTTACAAAAATGCCACCGTGTTTTTTTCTGGAAATCTTTTACATCGGTGGATCAGATTGCCCGATGTAATAGGTGACGAAAAAAATTTTTTCCCTTATTTTTTATATCATTGGAAATAAATACCTGATGTAAAAAGTTTGTTAACTGTATTTTTTACATCACCTATTTGATACCCGATGTAAAAACCTTTTCTCAAATGTCTTTTTTTTAGTAGTGGATACATCATGCATTGTACATTCACGAACTGCACAACTCATTAATGTAAATAAAGCATCGTGAACCACAATATACTTCACTTAGGATTAACATAAAAATGAACTAACATATATTAATTATGCAAAACATTAAGTTATACATAAATGGCCTACAAGGGCCATTGAAAGTTATCCATGGATACTGCTAAATTACATGGAAGATGTTTACCAGTTCATTCCTATATTAAAACGGCTTGAATGTTACAAAAACTATATTACTACAAAACATGATAATAACTTTCGCATCATTCATGAACATACGCCCCCACTTTCTCTTCCAAAAAACCATATTTCACTTCCACTACTTCATTCCCAATCAACTGCCTCAACGTACCTCATTCATGCGCTCCACACTGACAAAGATTTTACTCGCCGGTGGATATCTAATACAGAAGTGCAACACGTCCCCACCTGTAACTTCCTTTCTTTGGCAAATTTGTACCATCCACAGAAAATGTACGTCTCCATCGTCTCAGGCCTCCTTTTCAGCATACATTCATGGTAAACATGCAGGTCTGTGCCATGCAACAATATGGAACCTTGTGGTTCATCAAGGCATTCCTTCACCACCCGTAGAGGAATTTGCTGTACATTTACAATACCAACTGAGTATACGTCACATGTCGATGGAGAAACACTACTACAAAAAAAGGAAAAGACAGCACTTTTTTGACCTTTAACAGCGCTTTAAAGCGCTGCCTAAATCAGCGCTGCTAAAAGAAAAGACAACGCTTTTTTTCAACGTAAAAGCGCTGCCTTATGTCCACTTTAGACAACGCTTTTAGAATAGACAGCGCTTTTTAATTTTTTCCAGATAGGCTTTAGACAGCACTTTCCTTTGAAAGTGCTGTCTATTCCCCCATTTTAGACAGCGCTTTTCAGACTTTAGGCAGCGCTTTTTGTTTTTTAACTTTTTACAGCACTTTTCTCCTAAAGTGCTGTCTATTGTTTACAATTTTTTTTAATAAATTATCTATTTTAATCAGAATTTTTATCATATTTGATAGCTTCATTCCAATATTTTGATCCAGGTTTTCAAAATTATCTTTTATGCTCCATATTCGGTAGTTTCATTCCAATAAAATATATATATATAAATTGATGATATAGACAACAACAATTACAAAATTTATGATACAAGTTAAAATGCCTAAAAATTCAAAATTGAATTTACATCTAAACATCTTTCTATCTTCGAGAATTCTCAAGAAACAACAACAACATGAATATCTTAGCTCTATCTTCTACACATGTACCTATAAACCTGGAAAAAAAACCAAATGATCGAAATTCATAACATGATAATATATATTAATGTTGCACTTTATTAATTCGAATTTAATTTATACTCAAAACTCAAAATTTCTCATCAAAGGAAATAAGACAATATACCTTAGCTTATAAAATTCTCAACCCGATAATGAATTGACACCATTCGTCCATAAGTTCATCCAATTGATCTTTTGAGTAATGTGCACAATTTAATTCCTCAAAGTACTACATATATAATAATATAACATAGTATGTGATTTAGTTAAAACAATATGTCATTTTATGAGAAACAAAAAATATGAAAATAGTATGTAATTCCTAAGTTAGAAATCCATACCGTGGATGAAATCTCTAATCGATCTAAAAGAATAGTTGGCGAGGACACTACACATGGAAATAAAATACGAATATATATCAGGATATACCCCAAAAAATATATATAAAATGACAATGCCAAAAATTAACATAAACATAAACTTAAATGTAAACACAAACATAAACATAAACATTTTAATATCTTACCTCTTTCACTAACATCTCTTTCTTTTCTTGGTTGGAACATGAATTACGTGCTTTTTAACAATGCGGACGAATGGATTTATCCAAATTCCCTCATTATGATCATTTCTGATATATGATTCATCCGCTATAATATTCTCATCTTGATCATTTATAATATACGACTCATTCCGTCTAATACATGACTCATTCTCATCATCAATACCACCTTGGTCTACACCGTTATCATCAACCACTTTGTTAAAAAAAAGCACTATAGACCATTTTGTATTCGTCGGGTCAGTGACATAGAACACTTGTTTAGCTTGAGAGGCTGGAATAAAAGGCTCTTCTTTGTACCCCTCTCTATGAAGATCCACTTGCAAAAATCCTGACATATCCATTCGTATGCCACCACTACTTACCCACTTGCAACCAAAGATAGGAATCTGAAACTTCTCGTAATCAAACACCCAAATATGCTCGATAACTTCAAAATATGATAGATTTGCATATTTGGGGTTTAGGTCCTTCATACTATAAATGTGCATTGCTTCAGCAAGCACGGTGACACCACTATTTTGTATAGTACTTTTATCATCTTGTTTTTTGGTATACAATGTGTATCCATTAATTGTGTATGCGCTATAGGAAAACACATGAAAACTTGGACCATATGTCAAACATCTCAATCTTTCTGTTATTGAAGCGGTATCTGAATGAAGCTTTGAAAAATATGATCCTTAAACCACGGTATGAAACTTTGATTATGCTCCCGTACTATCCAATTTTCATTTCTATTCTTATTTAACCCTCAGAGTATATCCTTGTGCATTTCAACATATGGCTCAACCTCACTGTCATTGTGCAGAACATATAGATGCACTTGATCCCATTCATCTTTTGATACTGTCACAATTTTATTTCCAATTAATCTTTTTCCTGCCTTTTTTTTCAAAGATATGACTTTTGGGGAGTCCAATGGATTGAACTTTGGACAAATATTCAGTATAAAACTCAACCGCTTCTTCAACAATGTATCGCTCAACAATACAACCCTCTGGGCGACTTCAGTTTTTCACGTACCATTTTAATACTTTCATATAACGTTCATCAGGGTACATCCATCTCATATAAGCTGGGCCGCACAACTGTGTCTCTTTCACAAGATGAACAACTAGATGTACCATTGTGTCAAAAAATGAGGGTGGAAAATACATTTCAAGCTCACACAAAGTAATAACAATTTCTTTTTGCAATGTTGGTAAGATCTCAGGATCAATCACCTTACTACAAATTGACCTAAAGAAAAATCACAACTTAGTTATCGCACTCCTTACTTTATCTGGCAAAATAGAACGTATACCTATTGGTAGAAAATGCTCCATTATAACATGGCAATCATGTGTATTTAAACTCTTTAACTTGAGGTCTTTCATAGACACAAGTCTTCTAATATCTGAAGAGTATCCTTCTGAAACTTTAACTTCACTTAGAAACTTACACAATATCTTTTTCTCCTTTCTAGATAGATTAAAAGCAGCAGGTGGTAGATATGTTCGGATTTCTTTCTTCACGGGTCCTAGTTCAGTTCGTATTCCCGTCTTTAACATGTCATCCCTTGCTTTAAGGCCATCCTTAGACTTTCCTTTAATATTAAGTAACGTACCAATAACACTTTCAAATACATTTTTTTCAATATGCATAACATCGAGAAAATGTCTCACATACAGAAACTTCCAATATGGCAATTCAAAAAAAATCGATCTCTTCTTCCACCCACCTTTTACAACCGTATGCGCAAAAGGCTTGCCAAACTGAGTACACACATCTTTCACCTTTTCAAAAACTTGGTCAACTGACAATGCAGGTGGAGCTCTACGTTGTTTGGTGTCTCCATTGAATGCTTTTCTCCATGCACGGTAGTGATGTTTAGAATGTAAGAATCTACGATGACCGAGAAACACATTCTTCTGACAAAGTTCCAAACGCGTCGTATCGGTTCCATCTTCACAAACAGGACACGCACGTTGACCTTTAATGCTATACCCAGATAGATTCCCGTATGCTGGAAAATCATTAATTGTGCCAAACAACATCGCCCTCAAATTGAAACTTTATTTCCTATATCCATCATAAACCTCTACCCCATTCTCCCACAAAATCTTTAAATCTTCGATCAAAGGTGTCAAGTATACGTCTATGTCATTCCCTGGTTGTTTAGGCCCAGATATTAACATAGATAACATCATGTACTTACGCTTCATACATAGCCATGGAGGTAGGTTATAAATTATAAGAATCACAGGCCATGTGGTATGTGAGATACTTTGAAGACCATGCGGGTTCATTCCATCAGTAGATAAAGCCAACCGAAGGTTTCTTGCTTCTTTTCCAAAATCAGGATAATCATTATCAATTTTCGACCACTGTGGTGAATCTGCCGAATGTCGATACTTTCCATCAATAATTATTTCATTTGCATGCTAATTTAGGTGTCTTGCATCGGTTTCACTACGAAACATTCGCCTAAATCTCAGAATTATAGGAAAATACCATAAGACTTTTGCTGGACACAATTTTTTCTTATATCGAGACAAACCTCATTTAGGGCACTCATTTAACGAAGCATATTCGTTTCGAAACAAAACGCAATCGTTTGGACAAGCATGTATCTTATCATAGCTCATACCAATAGAGCACAACATTTTTTTGGCCTCATAGGTTCGATTAGGAAGAACATTATCCTCCGGAAGCATATCTCTCATAAGGGCTAATAACTATGTGAAACTTTTATCTGACCATCCATTGTCCGCCTTTAAGTTGTACAACTTTAATAACGCAGACAGTCTTGTGAATTTAGTGCACCCTTTATACAACGGTTTCTCTACATCGCTTACCAATCTCTCAAACATTTTGGGACAATTCTGAAGATCTTCTTCAAGTGCATCTGCAATCTTTTCGACTCAATCAAAATCGTATATATCTGCATCCTTGTCGTCTGAGGCATAGGCCGTACTACTTTTCTCCCCCGGTTCAACGTTGTCGTTACTTTTTTCACCATGAAATATCCAACACGTATAACTTCTATCAATTCCACGCATTAGTAAATGCGATTTCAATCCATCTGCGTTAACCCGACCCACATAACAACAACCCAAGCAAGGACACTTCATTCGACTGGGGTCTTTGGCGTGTTCAACAACAAACTTAACGAATTCCAATACCCCATTCTCGTACTCTTGTGACAATTGATCGGCAAACATCCATTTTTTATCCATTTTTTTCTACTTATTCAAGTAAACAAAAACACTATAAACGGATTATTCTCTTTTTGTTTGAATTAAACGAATTATTTCTAGAAATTTATTTCTAGAATTAATAACATGGACTAAAAATAAATATATGTATATAAAATTCAGAAACCATTTAAAATAACAAAAAAAAACCCATCATATATATCATCTTTTATATTCCAAAACATAGAACCAAGAATCCAAAAAATGCTAAAAATGCTAAATGCTAAAAATGTTGTTGTTATATACCAAGCCCTACCAAGAATCCAAAAATTAAAATGCATACATATAACATAGTTTAGACATCAATAGGAGATAAACACATTTGAACATCAATGGATATTAACACATTTTCAAGGATGATAACTCAGTTTGGACATCAGTGGAATTAAACACATTTTCAATAAAGAACATACCTTGAGAACCGGCCGGTGTGGATGGAGGAAAACGGAGCGAGACGGTGGAGGACGGTACGACGGCGAACAGTCAGGACGATTTGAGACGGAGACGAAAATGGGTTTCGCGAGGGAAAGGGTTTCTGTTTGCATGTGATAGTGATACTGTGAATACAAATATTCTGTTTTTTTAATTCTGACTTATAAGGGTTTAGACAGCGCTGACTAAAGTGGACCTTAGACAACGCTTTTGAAAAGTGCTGGCTAATGGTAACCTTTAGCAACGCTTCTTTTTTTTTTTTATTTAATTTTTTATGACTTTAGACAGCATTTTCCTAAAGCGTTGTCTAAAGTGGCCCTTTGCCAGCCCTTATGATAAAGCGCTTACTAAAACAATCCTTTAGCAGCACTTTTTAAAAGCGTTGTCTAAGGTCATATGTTTAGCAACGCTTTTACTAATTATTTTATATATTTTTCGTATTTTTTTATTCACTTATAGCAGCGCTTTTGTACAAAAGCGCTGTCTAAGGTGCGTTGTTAAAAGGCGTAGTGAAAATCTCATACAAAAATGGTATCTTCTTTAACTTACCAAAACATTTGTGGAAATAGCTTTTGGCGACTCGACAACCCTCGACCAGTTTTCCTCGTTCTTCTCTTGGATTATTAGAGTATATAGCCTGCATGAAATCAACATACAACAATTATATCCTTTATGAAACATACTTCGTGACCAGACATATGGAAGTCTACATAATTAGGCATCTACTAATCAAACATACTGGTAGTTGATGCACATTTATACAAAATACTCATTACCCATCATATGTTATCAACTCAATATTGTCACCAGTAACCTATTCTATTTAACTTAACAGCACTTGCGTCCTCATAGTCGTTGCATCTTTATCCTAACATACATGCTTCCTAAACACTTAAACGTCCTACATTAACCACAAAGTAACATAATATAAGATATTGTTTTACCTTTCGCTGTCAGAAGATATCGAAATAGGATCATCCATATGGGCGCCTACCGAAGGACCATCGTCCTGTAACACAATGTTCTTTTCAACACCTCTGGCGTTTCCCTCCACAGATTTACCCTTTAGATCAACAACACCATCCGCTTCTACCGAAGGAGCATGCTCATGCTCGACTACAGGATTTTCAAGATCTGCATTCTTGCCATCTCCATCTTTATCCTTTAGAACTGCACCAGCATCCCCTCCTTGCATTTTACCATCCATATCTTCACCCGTAGCCCTTATTTGACTAAAACCATTAACTTCTTCAACAGAACCACCTCCCTGCAATGAAATGGGTCATTCTTTTTTATAGTCGTAGTCGCTGCCAAACGTCTGGTTTGGTTTGCA